GTGTCTGTCGTGGACCTGTGTCGTGGAGATGGCTACTTTCACGACATGACGCAGGACAAGCTTGATGCTTTCAAGCGGTTGGTGAAAGCCATGGAGTCAAAGAATTTTGGTCTCCTCTGGGTCACCAAGTCTTGCCAGTTCAAACCCACCGATCCGACATATGCTCCCGTGCTCGGCGTAGCGCGTACAGTTCGCGCCGAGATGAGCCTCACGTTTGCCACGTTGGAGCTGGATAACGTGCAAGCCGGCGCCCTTGATGCGGTTTCTCAGATTCTGCGCGGAGCCATAATTGATCCAAACCAATCCCATGAGATGGAGTTTGCATACTCCTCAGGAAAGGTCTTGATTCCGCGTTGTCAGTGGACGCCGGTATCTCAGTCCCTGCAAGCCACAAGCCCTCCATCTCGTACAAAGATGCTGCAAATTGGCAGACCTGGAGCACTTCAGACTCTCCAGTGGGTATCTCGCACACTGCCTGAGGATCTTCCTCCCAACTATGTTCAGATCAAAGTGCATGCAGCCGGTCTTAACTTCAAAGACGTCGTCACGGCCATGGGTCTCATTACTCCTTCTTCTTCCGAAGGCCTCGGCTGCGAAGCCAGCGGAGTAGTTACAGCCAGAGGATCTTCAGTCACGAATCTGCGTGTCGGAGATCGTGTCATGGTCTTCGCCCCGCAAGCTGCTTGCTTCTCGACGGACGTACAAGCTCCAGCTCAGCCATGCGTTCGCATCCCCGATTCTCTAAGCTTTGCAGATGCCGCTGGTATGCCATGCATCTTCATCACAGTTTTACGAGCTCTAGTTGAAAAGGCCGGGCTTCGAGCCGGTCAGAGCGTGTTGATCCACAGTGCCGCCGGCGGCGTTGGTATTGCTGCCATGCAGATTGCCAGATGGATAGGGGCCAAGGTCTATGCGACGGTGGGCAGCGATGAGAAAGCCGACTTCGTTTCTCGCGAGTGGAGGGTCTCGAGAGAAAGCATCTTCTCTTCGCGGGACACGAGTTTCGTTGAGGGTGTCAAGGCAGCAACCGGTGGCCGTGGCGTGGACGTTGTGCTCAACTCTCTCTCGGGTGAGCTGCTACATGCGTCGTGGGAGTGTGTAGCTCCACACGGAACGTTCGTCGAGCTCGGCAAGCGTGACACGCTCGCTGGTGGCCGACTTTCGATGGCGGCTTTTGACGAGAATCGGTCGTTTGTGGGCGTTGAGATGGCGAACCTTGCTGCTCAGGATCCGAGCATCGTGGGTCGTCTGTTGGAGCAGGCAGTTGAGCTTTATGAGAAGGGAATCGTCTCGCCGGTAACTCCGTCACGCATCTTCTCTTGTGGAGATGTTCAAGATGCCTTCCGCTACCTCTACAAGGGCACCCACATCGGCAAGGTCGTTATCGATCTCAGCGATGAAACGCAAGATGCTCTAAAGGTCGCCCGTCCAACGTCAACTCCAGCATTCAAGAATGACGCTACCTATATGCTAGTGGGTGGCATGGGAGGTCTTGGTGGCTCAATTGCACGCTGGATGGTCTCCCACGGCGCACGAGACTTGGCTTTCGTTTCCAGATCAGCCGGTGCTGGCGCTGAAGACCAAGTCCTTGTCGCCGAGCTAGAGGGAATGGGTTGCAGAACAACTGCCATTGCATGCGACATCACGGACGAATCAGCTGTTGAGGCCATTGTTTCCAGGATATCTTCATCCAAGCACATTGCTGGCGTGATCAATTTGGCAATGGTCCTTGCAGACGGGTCGCTGCCAACGCTTAGCCTGTCTCAATGGCAAACAGCAACGGACCCCAAGATTCGCGGAACGTGGAATCTGCACCGCGTCCTCCCCGCTGATATAGACTTTTTTGTGCTATTCGGCAGCATGTCTGGTGTTCATGGGTATCCGGGCCAAGCAAACTATGCGGCAGCCAACACCTTCCTGGACAGTTTCGCACATTATCGTCGCGGTCTCGGAATGCCGTGCTCAGGTGTTGACCTCGGTGGCGTGGAAGATGTCGGCTATATCAGCCGAACTCAAGACGTCGAGGATGCCATGCGAAAGGCCGGTGCAAAGTTGGTTTCCGAGTCGGAGATGCTGAAAGGTTTGCAGCTTGCCATCGCCACATCACGAGACACTAGCAACAAAGACAACAGCGGTTTGAATAGCCAACTTGTTGTCGGCCTGGACTGCACTATCCCCATCGATGATCCAAGCAACCGCGTCGTGTGGAAGCAAGATCCGCGCATGGTTCACTACCTGAATAACTCAGAAGACGCCGCCTTATCGCAGAACAACTCTGGTCGCCCTGGATTAGCCGACTACATCGTCCGTCTTCAAGGCAACCCACAGGAGCTGGATTTTCAAGCCACTGTCGCACATTTGTCAAAGGAAATTGCTCAGAGGGTCTTTGGTTTCTTGATGAGAGAGATTGACGAAGGGGGAGTAGATACAAGCCAGTCACCGTCTGCGCTTGGTGTCGACTCGCTCATGACGATTGAAATCCGCAACTGGTGGAAGCATACAATGGGAGTTGATGTGAGTGTGCTTCAGCTAACGAGTGCCCAGAGCTTCGATCAACTGGGACAGCTGGCTGTTGGACAATTGAAGAAGAAAATATCGACTTAAATAGAACGTACTATTAGAATTAGAGGAATGGGAGTAAACACATAACGGCGGATATCAGGAGTTTCATTCATGAAACATAATCTGACAACTATTGATATTTAAAGAGAAAACGGCCAAAAGGAGTTGAAGACAAAGCGGAATCTTCTATTAGGATTATGATGAGTTGATAATAAAGACGAATCGACAGTGCAATGTTCGGCTCGAATGCAAAAATGAGTATCGTGTTCTATTCGACCGACCTGAGTGGTCGTTACACGATCGCCACGTCGTGAAGCATGAGACAAGAGCCGGCGCAACTGATTGAAGCTGGGAGTCATAGTCTACTCCGAGACCAGCTTCAGCATCGGAATTCGGGGTTATTCAATTCCGCTAACTAGCGCCGATGGTTTAGTGGTAAAATTCTCCGTTGCCACCAAGCAGCGTCGGGGAGCCGGGGGTTCGATTCCCCCTCGGCGCAATCTTTTGCTTTTGTGTTAATGGCCTTAAGCTATTCCGCCTAGGTATTCATTCCTTTTTGAACACACGGCGATTGACGATCAGTCTACTCCTACTCGCTTGAGCTATGTAGACGAGCAAAATAACAGTCCTTAGTGAGAGAATAGTTCCAGATGAGCAGCTGTGTTCCCCCGCCTTCAAAATTGCCTTGGCGTAACCTGCGCCTATCTTATCCACTCTCGAGGATCCTTGTGCGTAAGATCGTCAACATCGGGAAAAGAACTGCACCATTTGATACCTGGCCAAGAGCAAGTTTGTTTCGAGAGACGCGACACTGTGCTTGAAACTCGCCTTGCTACCGCGGCCACCAAAGGACAAGACATCCTATCCCAGTTTAATCTTATGAGCATTATTTGGGTTTTCTCCAGTAGTTCGTTCGGACGTTGACATAGGCTGCGAAACGGCTTGCGGGCTGCCTCGGTATCGCTCCCGAGAGCTCTGACGGGGTCAACAGGTGGTGCTTGCGCTGCACGATTAACCTTCTTTTGTTTATACTTCCGCATCGCATCGAAACACGTCGTGGTTTGTGAAATCATCAGCAGCCGACGATCGCTCAGTCGGCGATAACCGAAGGCTGGCCTCGCTGATTGCTTTGTCTTGATAAGTGCTAAGTCAACGTTTCCAACGGCTTGTCATAGCTTACAAGCAGCTGCAAGGTCACGCATGTCGCCGGCTTTTCAAAACAGACTCGCCGCCCCAGATGCGCGTTTAAGGTTGCAGGAGCACTTCACTTAGCCTTTGGCTTCACGTCCAAGGCCGCATCAGTGCCACCACCCCAACGTAGGCTGTAGGACATGAGATGAAGGTGCTACATTATTAAGCTCTGACGAGAGCATTTGGTGATGCCGACTGTACGGACTGACCTATAGGCTAACCACTGCCTGGACTCGCTCAGATGAACCTTCACTTTGCCCGTCTCCTCCTCCCGCCTTCCCACCCCACGGCTATTCGACGATGCGACGCTGGCCAGCCATACGGCTATCGCGCTCCGCGAAGCCCACCGGTTTCTTGCTGCCCGTCCGCGACGGCCGTGCTTACGGTAAATCGCGGTGCCTTGCAGCCCTGCTGAAAGATCCCTGCTTGGCGCCGGAAGACACGGGGATTGACCCTTTTCCACCCACCGTTATGAACAAGGGGCAGAAAAACCGACCCTGAAAGTTGCAGCTCCCGAAACCTGTTGGTTCCCCTCAAACTCCGGGGAGAAAAAACGAGGTGCCTGTTGCGCCTTCGTCTTAGGGGGGCCAAGCTCGCTAATGAATGGAGAGCGGCTGGCGTGAGAATCCCGCCGTTGAAGAACGACCGGGGCTCGCAGCTTGCGCCTCTGCCTGGGCAGTCAGTGTCATCAATCGGGTGTTATCTCCGACTGTCAGTCGAGTCTCGAACTCCACGCGCTCAGACAATTCTTACCCGCAGGGAATGAAAATTGTCAACCCACTTCGGCCCCATCTGACGCTGGCGGGTGTAACGATCAGGCCAGGATTGCTCGGATTTTCTCAGCCTTCAAATTGCGTAAAAAGACGCTTGCATTGGCAGAAAGTGGGTAATGGCGAGCGCTTTGACAGAGCAGACATCTTTGGTTCTGACGACTCCATCCAATGCCCGACATTCCATATCAGGACATCAGATCGTTGGAGGGAGCGTCTTCCCTGGCATTCACGCGACGAGCGGCAATTGGCGCGATTGCGAGATAACCTGACCTCATTATCATTATCTTTTCATAGAAACTAAACCAACATTCAAACGCATAACAGCTCAATTCTAGGGCAGGTCGTGACGGTACTGTGGCCTCCTCTGCCGGGTATCTGATGGCGTGCGCTTTTTCATAGTACTTCCCCCAACACCGTAGCATGCGTAAGCTCCTTGTGAGCTGCGTGTACTTGGAAATCTCAAACAGCTCCGTCTCATAATGGTGACTGCTTTCCTGCTCTTGCTGCAGATGCTTCGCTCTCAACGTCTTCTTCAGAAACCCAGAACTCTGTCCTCTTTTGGATGCCGGGTTCCAACGGTATCTCGCTGTGGTCGCTTTTCACGGATGGGCGTCGTTCGGAGCGGATGTATGTGTCGGTCCCACCAGGACCGGCGTTGTCGCCGCGTAACCTGCTGTTGAGGTACGCGGACCTTGTTTGGGAGTTCGCGTACGAGTTGCTGGCATATCCTGAAGGGTGAGATTGCGGCGGCTTTTCGCCGAAGAAATAGAAGAAGATTGAACGCGACAGTGCGAGGTTTCCGGCAATGATGCCGAGGTAAAGTTCGAGATTTGACCAGATTGCTGTTACAGCATAGACGTCTAATTTTTGAAGTCAGCTTTGAAGTGAATGGAGAGGGAACATGCAATACATACAACTGAGGTCGTTGGTGACGAGACCAAGAGAAGCGGCTCTCGCGATGCCAAAACCGGTCGCACTATGAAGTAGTCAGCATCGGTCAAATCGCTGTATGTGACGAGACTCTTACATCAGTCCAAGACTCATCAGTCCGCCAACTGAAATCTTCGTTGTCAAGGGAATTCGGACTTGCCAGACGACCGCCAGAGGCAGGAATGAGCAAAGCAAATCGGTCAAAACAGAATAAGCTATTCAACGTTAGCCATAGTCCGGGCAAAGCCTTGAGGTAGGTGAGCTCACAAATCGTCAAGTAAATGGCGTAAATCCGGATCTTCGCATCCCAGCACTTCCCCACTCCGGTCCAGTACGCCTCCACGGGATCACACTCTGCCAGGAGGATGATGATGACGCCGAAGTTGGTGATCACCAACCCACCCATAACCGTCCAGAGGAAGTACTTCATCCGGCTAGAATCCTTGATGCGCAGCAACAGCAGCATAATCGAGCACTTGAGCAGACAGACGCTGGCGAAGAGGAGAATCTGCCCGAACCATCCCAGCATGTTGTTGTTGACGTACTCCTCCGACGAAATGTACCACCTATGCCTCCCATTTCCGGTCGCGCCTTGCGCACACTGAACGCCGTATCTGACGATGCCGAGACTGGCGGTGATTGCCATCAAGTAGTCGTCCCATCCTAGGTGCCGTAGCGAGAAGCGCACGTAGAGCCGCAGAGTCGTCGTGAAGATGACGAAGAAGATGAGCACGCCGGATATCGCTAACAGAGTCGGGTTCACATTCTCGTCCGGCGGCAGCGGGTTCGGAGGAGTCACTGGCGCCATCGTCATCGTCGTCGTTAAACACTGTTCGCTGACGATGGGCTGACAAAAGCAAAGAAAATGGCAGGTTCCCAGATCAGACCTGGTAGCCTGAGTGCCAGGAAGCAAGGAACGAGGGTTTGTGCGCGGGAGCCAGGAGCTGGGCCATCCGCTGGATAAATGTAAGAGATTGAAGAAGGGGCGCCGCGCGGGAGGGACCCACGGCTGGCGGTCGTGGTTGTGCTGTGCTGGCGAATGGCTGCACAGGGCAAAGGCGACGACGATCGCCAAGATCTGCTTTGAGATGGCAGCTCGTCTTGTTGCCCCGGACTTTGAACGGGGACGCTAAGAAGTAAGGGACGAGGGGGGGAGGGCGTGTTAAGGGCTTTGTAGCCGTCTTAAGAGAGCTGCGACGAAAAGGAAAGAGTACCCAGGTGTAGCTGATGCAGGTAATTCAGTTTCCGCCGCACAGCCTGCATGCGTGAGGCCGAGTGGTGGTCTGGTCTGCAAGGAAACGGAGGAGGTCAGGGCACACGGCGCATATGTCTCAGAAAGGCGAAGACCCAACCTGTTCATCCCGCGGGCCTTGTGGGAAAGGGTGGTAGCGATGCTTCGACGTGTTGTCGTGCAGTTGCAGTGGACTTGTGGATTTGTGGATGGGAGATCGTCCAACATACTTTTTGTTAATGGACTTTAAGCATTCAGGTGGGCGCTTGTTCGTCACCTCGGAAACAATTTTGAATGCCAGGCACGGGAACTTAGAGCCAGGAATGTGGCTGCGCGTGGCGTACAATATCTCTCTCGCAGGCCTATCTTGGGTCTCAGCCGAGAGACTGACCCCGGAGAACAAAAGTCTCGCCCGAGTCTCCGTTGTGGACGGCCGTGAGAGAGAGGAGAGGAGAGAAAAGGGCAGCATTCTTGCAGGTTCGCGTTACCCCCTCCAAGGCTTTGCCCGGTGTGGCCATGGATACAAATTGAGTTTGAGTGGCCTCCAATCTTCCGATGCATGCTGTTGCCGCTGCTGAAGACAATTCGTCAAGAATCCCTGGGCTGATGTGGGTTTCTCCTGCGCCGCTGCTGCACATATGACAGGGACGAAAAGCCGCACGTCGACTGTTGCGCAGAATGCCGCAAGGGGGTGTGATGATTTCCAGATTTGTGGATTTGGCCAAAATGACAAAGCAGGGCTGCCGGTGCTGCTTCGAGGCATGTTGACGGCGATCATGTTCTCATCTTTGGCTTTGCACACTCTGACCATCCGATCATCCCGTCAACTCTCACATCGACAAGACAATTTGAAGATTGCCTTGAGACAGATACGGACGCGGACGTGAAGTATATCAGAGGAGCTGGGTGGCATCGCTCTTCTTTTTCTACACCACCCAACCAGAAGAGCACTAGGTAACAACGAAGGTTTCGGGCGAGGTGAGGGAGGTGGCCGAGTCTAATGGCGGCAACGTCGCGGGTGTCAAGGGTGTCCCAGGGGAAGCCTGTTCGCTCTGAGGGTCGTGCTGTAAACAAAAATTGCGAGGAGACGGGGAAAGCCCGGAAGACAACGTCGTCAATGCCTGGCGACGTGGGATTGTGGTGGAATTGTTCATTATTCACTAAGACGGCTGATTTGCCCAGACAAGGACCTGTCAGGTTGTCGGATGGGTCTAGCAGGGGACATCCTTGAGTCATGAACCCTCCCCCGGAGGAACGACCGGCCGGCGCAGCTCCACATTGCCAACCGTTCCCGCCGGAACAGAAACGTCGATGGTACGGTAGCATTCGCCGGGCACAGCCAACGTGCCGGCGAGGGCGTGTCGTTCGTCTTTAACCGTTGGGGCCCGGCCGAGCATAAGACTGTGCTATGCCCGCTTACGAACTACTCATGCAATTCCCCCTCCTCTCTCCTCTTAGCTCGTCGGGGTAGTTGGCTCGCGTATCTTTTTCATGTAAGAAGGTGTGCGTTGGCCTGGCGTAGCGTCCGTAGTGTCGGGACTTAATAAGTGCTTACTATGTATGGCCTGTCGTCCTCTCCCCTCACACGCTTTCTAGTGTCGTTCTACCAGCCGTCCCGCGTATATGGCAGAATGATGGTTCGGAACCCCACCGATTCTGGCCCTTGTGCCGTTGTAGAACTTGGCAAGCGGCGACCTGGGGCGGCGACTAGGATATTTGCTGGGCCGCGTGGCTCATGATCAGCACATTCTGGCTGGACGATATTGCCCGTGGTGGTCTTAATATCCGTACTATCGAATTGCGACTTTTATTCGCTATCTTGTGGGACGTACAAAAAGGCTCAGCTCAGCCCGTTTCTCTCACCGGAGGTGACGCATGGTCAAGGCACGCCACCGTCCCTCCATCGTCGTACATGAGTGTGTTGTTGGTTTTCGTCCAGGAGGCCTGACGTGCAGATATCGCGCAACATTGGTTTGAGCTTTTTCGCGAATCCTCGTCTCTCGTTTCGTGATCTCTCAATCGCTGAACCGACGATTCCTCAAACCTTATTGTTTGTTCCATTTCGGGAAAAAGATCGCTGCATACCACCGTCTTAGCCATGCTTGTCAAGTCGAGTCTCGCATTTGCTGCCCTCGCGGCCCATGTCTTTGCAGCGCCTGCGCCGCAGCCCTATGGAGACGACTCCTACGATTATGTAAGTCTTCCTGTCCATTTTCAGATCTTTTGGTCCTTTTGTTGCTTTTTTCGACGGGGGTTGGCGCTTCGCTTTCTCCTCGGATTGATTTGATTGCAACGTTTGTTTGTTGGTTGGCGGCGGCGGCGTTCGGACTCGACACACTGACCCCTTTAACCAGATCGTCGTCGGTGGCGGTACAGCCGGTGTAGCCGTGGCTGCGCGCCTGAGCGAGGGCCTCCCTGACTCGAAGATTCTCTTAATCGAGGCAGGCCCCGAGGCCTGGGACGAGCCCAAGATCAATGTCCCTGGCATGAAGGGCTCGACGCTGGCGACCAAATATGACTGGAACTTCACCACCGTGGCGCAGACCAACGTCAACAACCGTGTCTTCTCCGTGAACCGCGGCAAGGTTCTTGGTGGCAGCTCTGCCCTCAACCTCATGTCCTATGACCGGTCTGCCGCTGAGGAGTATGACAGCTGGGAAGCACTTGGTAATGCGGGGTGGAACTGGGAGACCATGATTGCCGCCATGAAGAAGTCGGAGAACTTCACTGGTATCAACACTGACACTTACGGCTCCGAGGGCGTTGGTGACAGCGGTCCGGTCAAGGCAGTCATCAACCGGATTATTCCCGAGCACCAGGAGACATGGATCCCGACGATGAACACCCTGGGCATCAAAACCAACCTTGAGTCTCTAGGTGGTAACCCCTTGGGCGTCATGTATCAGCCCAGCAGCATTGATGCTACCCACTACAACCGCTCGTACAGCGCCAACGCCTACGTCCCCATTGCTGGCTCCAACTTGGAGATCCTGTCCGACACCACTGTTGTAAAGGTCAACCTCGACCAGGTTGGGGACGAGCAGCAGGCCACTGGAGTTACTCTGCAGGATGGTACTGTCATTGCAGCTAACAAGGAGGTCATTCTGTCTGCTGGTTCCATCCAGAGCCCCGGTCTTCTGGAACTGTCCGGAATCGGCCAGGCCTCCGTCCTCAACTCATCCGGCATCGCCCAGGTCATTGACCTCCCCGGTGTCGGCGAGAACCTGCAGGACCACCTCCGTATCCAAAGCTCTTACCAGCTGAAGCCCGAGTACACCTCCTTCGACATCCTGCGCAGCAACACCACCTACGCCGCCGAGCAGCTGGCCCTCTGGAACGCCGGTGAAGTCTCCCTGTACGACTACACCGGCAGTGGCTACACCTTCACCACCTGGGCGCAAGCCCTCGGCAACGACTCCCAAATGGTCGCCCTTGCCAAGGAAGCCGCCGGTGAGGACCCCAGCAAGGTCGACGCGAAGAAGCTCGAGTTCATGACCAACCCGGCCATCCCCCAGCTGGAGGTCATCTTCTCCGATGGTTACACTGGCGTCAAGGGCTACCCGGCCTCCACCTCCCCCCTCTTCGGCAAGGGTTTCTTCACCCTCATCGCAGCGATCATGCACCCTATGAGCCGCGGCAACATCCACATCAACCCCGCCGACACCACCGGCAAGCCCATCATCAACCCCAACTACTTTGCGCACGAGCACGATCTCGAGGCGGCCATTCAGGCCATCAAGTACTGCCGCAAGATCGCCACCACCGAGCCCATGGCCTCCATCTGGGAGAGCGAGTACGAGCCCGGTCTGGATGTCGTCCAGACCGACGAGCAGTGGAAGGAGTTTGCTCTCAACACCACGCTGAGCATCTTCCACCCCGTCGGCACGTGCTCGATGCTGCCCAAGGAGGACGGAGGTGTTGTTGACGCCAACCTGAAGGTCTATGGTACTTCAAACTTGCGCGTCGTAGATGCCAGTGTTATTCCCCTACTGGTTTCTGCCCATGTTCAGACTGCTGTGTACGGCATTGCTGAGATTGCGGCTGAGCGTATTATCGCTGATGCCAAGCAGTAGAGTGGAGATGCGTCAAAGATGATTAGACATCAATATCATTTAATAATAATGATAATTTACTATTTGTGCACCTTGAATGGTACGTGGTGTTCGAGCTTTAGACGTTGGAACTCTAGGATACCATTAGTGCAATGAGTTTACCGCGAGTGAAAAGATCATCAACCCAATGCCACTTTGCGCCCTAAGGTGCTGCGCGGCAACAAAACTTGAAGGCCTATCGCGTCGCTTCGGTATTGGGTGCCATTTGATTCTGTAGTAGGCAGCAATCTCATAACTGAAGTTCTCTCGTGTGGACTCAGTCGACTTGAGCGATCCGTTGCGCAGCTCCTTTGCTTTCTCCCTTTTATCTCAATTACATTCTCTTCTCGTATTTCTTAGACGTGAAAAAACCAGGTCAAGCTGTATCTTGCGCATCTGGTTATCAATGTGACGGAAACAACTATTCATTCGACGACCGGTTTGCGCAGCTGAAACTGGACGATATGGCTCTTGTCTGGTTGGCCATACCAGGCCACGTAGACATCCGCAGGGCTGGTGTCCACTTGAAATTGTACCAACAGCCTACCATAGGCAGAGCAGATACCCATCCACGCAGTAACACGTTGCGGATGTTTATTGGTATAACAAGTCGGATGTGCGCATATTATACCTGTGACTCAATGTGTATTTTTGGTCAGTATTCACGCCAGATTGACGTCAGGACGACCTCCGCCCTCTCACCGTTCGCATAAATAGACACTTCCCCTCCCCTTCAAACCTGAGCTCATTTCCTTTCGCTTTTATTTCGGCATTAGTCTTCTTAAACCTGCGATCACAATCAATGATGGCACCCGTTGAATGATAAGCGCACTGTGCCCTTTATACATGCCCCTTAAGCTTCAAGCAGTCTGGTATCTCGCGCTTTTATGGCTATTCGGGTCATTCTAAAACACATTCTGTGCGGTTGCTTCGATGTCTTCCTGCAACGTTTGCTATGACTTGGAGCCCAGCTCAGAGAATCCTAGCAATGGCTATGTCTACAAGATCTCTGATATTCAAAACGCCTCCTACAATGGTTGCAAGACCTGCAAGCTCTTGCTGAACAGTTGTATCGGCCTGTTGGGTGAATCATTTTCATCCCTCGACTACAACATCAAGATCAGGCTGTGTTCTGAACGGGAGCCTCATTTCCAAACTGAAAACTTTGTGATATGGGGCTTTGGGATGGGATGCACCCACGTGAAACCTTCTGGTTAGTGCTCCGGGGTTCAGACATCCAAACACGATCTGGATAGGGATTTGTGATCACTGACACCGGGTAGAGGAGAATTGCCCATGGGCTGGCAAGAGCCTCGAGCCAGCTAAAGGTTGCTGTGTCAATCTGGATGACTACATTCACTTTATCCGTGCCAATCTGGCAATATGTGCTGGCTCGCACAAACTGTGCTCGTCCATCTCAGCTTCGAAAACATCATATACGCCTACAAGACTTGTACGTGTGGGCTCTTTCGAGCACGACGTATTTCTCGTCGAAACTGGCGACCAAGGGAAAGCATACGGTGATTACTGCAATTATGTTGCTCTAAGTCACTGCTGGGGTCAGCATCAACCTGCCAAGACAACGAAGGCCACCCTCGGTCGCTACAAATCGCGACTAATCTGGGCCGATCTGCCAAAGACCTTTCAAGATGCCATCACTGTTACCCGTGCACTAGGGATAGACTTTATCTGAGTCGATTCTTTATGCATGATTCAAGATGACCCCGATGACTGGGCTAAAGAAGCCAGCCAAATGGCTTCCATCTATCGGAATGCCTACATCACCATCGCGGCGACATCAGCGGCTGGTGGAGAAGAAGGCTTTTTATACGACCGGAGGCGACGAATCTATAAGTCTACTGCCGAGGTGAGCGGGAAAATACGGCATTTCTTTACCCGGTGCTTCATCGACCACTCTTCGTTTTCGAGGCCTGATATGGCCAGATTAAGTCGTCCTTTACCACTGATCACTCGAGGCTGGTGTCTTCAAGAACAGATACTGTCGCCACACGTGGTTCATTTTACCAGGCAGGAACTGATGTGGGAGTGTCATGATGGTGTAGTCTGCGAGTGTAGCGGCAAGATTCCGGGCTCATACATCAAGATGGAAATCGGAAAGATCTTCACGAGTGCCTCACCAACCGGCCTGTCGAAGATATGGACAAAGATTCTTGAAGAGTATTGTCAACGACAACTTACGTTTCCGAAAGACAGACTACCAGCACTTTCAGGCGTTACTGAAGACTTTGACAGACACGGGGTGATGGGTAGATATCTCGCTGGACACTGGGAGCGAGATCTCCCTTTCTCTTTGCTATGGGTCAGCAAAGCAAGCATTGGACGACGGGAAACTAGGCCTTCCGCCACGTCTTCACTATCTACAAAATCATCAACCCCATCTTGGTCATGGGCATCACTCGAGGCGGCGGACATGTCCTGGCAAAGATGGGTTCCAGAGCTTGAGAGCGAAGTGGAGATTCTGGAAGCGTCCTCTAGTCCAAATACTGCTGATCTTCGAGGACAAGTATCCGAAGGCCACATAACCTTTCGTGGGCAGGTATTTGTGGTAGAAGTGGCTGATTATCACCCTGTGCTGGACTGTACGACACTGAGGCACTGCAGGTCCTTCGCCACAGACCAAGGCAGTGATGCGAATGCTGTGGAATGTTTCTTCCAAGGAGACGTGAACATCATCCAAAGGCCTGCTGCAGATGAGGTCCTATTGTTCCTCGTCCTTGCCTCAAGATTGAAGTCGGAATCTGGGAACCGGAGCTTTTCCGGGATATACCTGCTGGCTTCCGAACGGCCAGCCTGTTCTGAGGCTCGGAAGCTGAAAGACCGGACCGGGTGTGACTATGTGGCGGTGAGAATTGGGGCAGGGGCCTCGAACTCTGCGGTGGACTACACAACTTCCACCACAAGGATTGTCACAATCATTTGATTGGGTTGTTCTCACAGGAGTCAGCACTGATCTGATTGATTATTTAGAAGAGTGTGATTAGGAGCGAAGAGCTAAAGATCTACTACTCGTGAGTAGTAAGCTTCAGAAGTCGTTCAAGCCACCTGGCGCCCTTCCGTTTAACTCGAGAAAGCCGTTGAGCATTTGTTCAATCTCATAATGTCCGAATAACACCCACAAGGCTAGACATGCACAAAGCCAGTATCATATCTCCATTGACGGGGAATTGAACCTCGGCCTAGGGCTTTTCAAAAAATGTGGTTGTGCAGGTTTGTAAATTCAACCCATTCGAAATCACGCACACATTTCATGTTTTCGCACATAACAAAGAACATTTAAATTATGATGCAAATATGGAACGATTTTCCAGTCTTGAAAATAAAAGAACGACTCCACTTCTCTATTCTAAGATAGGTCGATTATCGCTGAAGTCGTTCACATAGTTACCTTTCCTCCCTCCCCCATTAACCACAAAGGATTGATTTAAGTTCGCAGTGCATCAACAGAGAACACTTCGAAGAGCAAAAAGGGCAAAAATGAACTGAATACTCCTCGACGGGGAATTGAACCCCGGTCCCCGGCGCTTTGCCGTAATGACAAGCCGATATCCTCACCACTAGACTATCGAGGATGATGGTTGCTGTGAAGCGATGTGGGTTGAGGCCCGCAGAGGACTCATGACCCGCACCAGCACCCCACGCCTAAGCCTAGAACAATTTGCAATTGAATTGCTGGTTTCTAGAAACTCGGTACCTACTCGCTGTTGAGAGAAGCCCTCAATTCGGTCTCCTTATGCGAATCGAATAGAGAGCGACGGAGTTGTCACCCGCAGCTCGCATTGAGATTATTGGAGACTCCCATGTTGATGGAGACAGATTGAACTTCAAATCGTTGACCCCACCCGCAATGTCACTGCTCGCCCATCTCCGCGAGTGGACTCATATATCTCTTCCGGGAGCTGAACAAGTGACATGCATCTCAGAATACTTCCCATTCGAGAATGATTGGTATCTGTTGGTGAATGATGCACAATGTCTCAGACTACCACAGCCAGGCCAAGTCAGTGAGAGCTGCCCGGTTCCATTGGACGAGAGGAAAAGCTTGGCCCTCGCTATCGCCACGTGCAGCCTAGCTTGCCGCGCGATGAAGATCTCTCTCATCGAGTCTTCTCAAGATAAAGCTAGCTCGTCAGCACCGGTTGGCTGGTTTCCGAACGCTGAAAGCCTGCGCCGCAACTCTGAAGGATTCAGCCCCGCCTTACCCGATCAGGATAATGACCTGGCCAAGACCTGCACTCCGCCCCCCTGGTCTCACGCCCCACTTCTTCGATGTCATCTCCAAGCTGAAAGTCCGTCCGATCACTTAATAAACTCATCCCCAAACGGCAGACGTGCATGGAGGTGCCGTCGATTACTTGCAATAGCCCAAAACGTGCCATCAGTCACTTCGGGTCACTATTCTGAGAAACAAACAATGACCTCGACAGCTCGTCGGATAGCGCTGGCCACAACGGCAGACCGCCCTGCCGCCGGCGGTGGAAGAAAGCAGTGTTGGGAATGCCAGCGTCGTCGTGTCGTCTGCGACGCCGTTCGTCCCGTATGCGGTAAGTGTAAGGCGACTGGCGTCGTATGTCCTGGCTATGAGGACAAGAAACCATTGACGTGGCTGGCACCCGGCAAGGTCAAGACTCGCACCTGGAAGCGGAAGAAGCCTGCCACAACGAAGGAATCGTCAAAGACGACCTCCGAGCAGGACAGTAGTCCTGATTCTAACAAGGCGGTTACGCGAGCAGGCTCGCAGATGGTCCATCTCTTTCCCCCTTCCCCTGGAATGGAATTTCGGTCGGAGGTGTGTGACATTATCGAGGCGACTTCGTACTGTGAGCGACCAGCATCCGTGGGTATTGGGCCTGTATGTATGTGCTAACTTTTTACTCCACACTGTAGGGAACGAGTCTGTCTACCCGTCCTTTGAAACGACCCAGTTGATGAAGAGCCCGTGGATCATACCGGTTCGGTTCATCCACTACATGCCTGCCGCCACCCGGCACGCTCTGGTGTCCATGGCCATCGAGCACCGCATGCTGCGCTTGTCAAAAAAGAAGACCGACCCCTTCATGATGGAAATCCGAGCGCGGTTCCACCATCATCGATGTTTGGCGATACAAGCTCTCAACGAAGACGTTTGCAACGACGCGACGCGCGGAACAGACATGACTATGGCCAGTGTTATGGTCTTCTTATACGCAGATGTGAGTCTATACGAATGATGGGGGTCTCTCATGATTGCTGACTGATGCTAGCTGATGGGTTCGGCAACCGCGTCCAACTGGAGACACCACCTGAACGGGTACAAAAGTCTAGTCGACATTCGAGGCGGGTTTGAGAGCGTGTACCGCCTGACACCTTACATGGCACCCATGCTGCTTTTCCCCAAAATGTGAGTGGCCAGTTGGATTCCCCTGCATCCCCATTCGGAGTACAATTTCTTTGAGATCATGTCACTTGAACAATTAAACTAGACCTGGGCATCTGACATGCAAACAGCGTGGAAACCTTCGCAAACTCAACGAGTCCAGCAGACGACCAATCAGAGCCAAATCACAGCTACGATAATATCGACTTGATAGCTGAGCTTTTTCAGTCGGGTTACTACCCGTTCCTTCCATGCCCCGTGGATTTGTTCACCGACATCATCCGCATCAACTATCTCCGCTACCTGATAGCGACGGACAGTCTTCCTGAAGATATGGGAACTCCACAGTCTGCTTCGGAAGACTTGATAGAAGACGTCATCGAATTCTCGCCCGAGACGTGGGTCGAAACAAGGGATGCCGACGTCAAGGAAGAGCTCTTGCTTATGGCTCAGGCCTACCAGTCTGCTATTGCGCTGTATGCCATATCGTCACTTCAGGGCCTCAGGGCGTTGCCTTCTTCCGCAGGCTGGAGAGCTGTGAGAACTATTCACTATGGCCGGCTCATTTCTCTCCTCGAAAAGGCGGCGGAGGCGCCGCTGATGAAGAACTGTGTCGAATGGCCCCTCATTGTTGCCGGCTTCGAGGCGTCTACTGGGAGTGCGACTGGGAGAGTGATGGTAGTGAAACAGCTAGTTTCGATGAGCCAAGATTTGGGTACTTATCTGCCTTTGGCTGCTGTCGGGATGTTGGAGAAGTTTTGGTCTTCGGGAAAGAGAACGTGGGATGACTGTTTCGATGAGCCATATGCGCTGTTCGCTTAGAGATGCGTAGAATAATGCAGCGGAACCACCTTTTGGTATCGAATAAACTGCGGGCGACGCTGATAGAACACGGGTGTGTGCGGGTACGCGGTACACCATAATACAGGTCAGACATTCTTTCTCTGTTTCAGCTAGAGATTTTTCCTTGTGAGAATTTGGGTCAATCATGGGACCGTGGCCGGGGAACCGGCCCAGCAGTTGATGAGATCCAATAGCGTATCGAAGTGCGTCGCCGCGCCGCATCACAACAATGATGCCATTGGTAGCCGTAAGGCACGGCAACCTCGGGCATCTGATTGGTTGTCAACTTGAGCCCGAAATAAGGCATCCATTTCCCCTCCTTCCTTATCTCTTCCCCGCCTGGCCTCAGATCAATGCTGATGTCTATCGGCCGCGATGGCGACGTTTGGTTTCAGCGTCGGAGACTTCTTGGCTGGCGCCGAGCTTGCTATTAAGTTGATCAAAGCTCTTTCGGACTCATCAGGCGCTGGGCGAGAGTGTCGCGAGCTTATGGCAGAACTGAACGTAATTCATAAGGTCCTGCTGCAAGTCGATCAACTAAGCACGTCGAACAAGCTGGGAAAACCGACAATGAACGCAATCGCCTTCGCCACTAGAAACGTCAATCAAAAGATGACATCCTTCTTGGAGGAGGGAGAGCGTTACCATCAAAGTCTGAAGCTTGGGGGCTCTGGGAATGCTGTCAAGGATACTCTCAACAAAGGAAGGTGGGCGATTTGCATGCCAGAAAAGGTGAGTCAGAAAATGATTGAACCATGATGTAGAGTGATATTGACTTCAGATGCGTAACCCTTAGGTGGAGAAGCTAAGAATGTCGCTGGCGTCTTCGCTCTCTATTATCAATACCATGGTTTCGATGGCTTGTAATCGGCAAGTTCGCTGTGATTGGATGCTATACAAGGAGCTTCCACTAATATCTGATCTTGATGACAGAGATAATGCAGGATATTCAGACACACTGGTCACACAGGAGACGAGCAAGCCGACCAGTGTCGATTATTGGCCAGGTATTAAGTTGCATGCCCATGTCGGCTCTCAACAACTCTTGAACATCAATAATGGCGACTTTTGCCCTGTCAAAAATCCCGCAGTGTTCTTCAGGGCCGGTCAAATATTTTCAACACCAATCACTTCAGCATTCGTGGTCGATATCAAGTCTGCTCATTGGACAATTGGGAACTCTCCCCTAGGGCCTGTCTCGGATTTCGGACACGAAGAGCGTCTAGAACAACGAAAGCGCAGGCTCAATCAAATCAAAGACTTGTCTTTGAAACAAATGTCGCGATTTTGTCGACGTATTCCCTTGCAACGCCACAAAGTTAGCTGTCTGCTCTGTCAGCCATATGCTGAGGACGATTATGAGCCGGTAACTTCATACACCAAAGAAGAATGGGCAGTATTCCATTTACGGTTTGCCCATTGGAACTTCTATTTCGCCATTTCGTCCGCGTCATGGCCAATTCCCAAGTATCTTGTCGCACAAGAAGTCATACGAAGATTGCCTATGGATGATACCTTTTCTCTGGACGACTGGATTCTCCTTGAGGACCTTACGACTGGGCAATTAATCATCACAGACGATGAAATTTGCAACTATGCCTTGCGCTTCCATCGAGAAACCCGGCGGTGTTTTTGAAGTGGACCTTCATCCGCCTTGGAAGTATCAATGTTGTGCGCTGTCAGTGCCTCCTGGGCGGAAGAACGAAGGCGAGAAGATGCATGCACCAATTCAAGGCCCAGTACTCATCCGACGCTTTGTAGTGGTTCGAGAGGGAAAATGGGGATGCCTGTGCTTAGAAATCCATACGTAAGTTTATTACACGCTGCAATTCATAAACGTCAGCAAGTCAGACCAGGCGCCACAAAGCTAAAACTTGTTTTCGATCCAGACATGCAGGAAGAGGAGCCGGCGGAGAAGATGACCAGCACCTCTATGCGATCATTCACAGCGTCTCCGCAAGTGCAATCAAGTCAATTTTGACCCCCAGACTTAACAAATTGGCTCTTTTTTCTAGCGTTTTTGATTACTTACCTAACTTATAATTACAACAAGTTAATTACTATATAAAGTGACATCATATAGACTTCCTAATCGGGTAATTTTGAGGCTATCTACAGCCTTAGAAGCCCTCCTAGGGCCCCCTAAAAGGTCCCTCAAGAAGGACCCAGGCCTCAAGAAGGCCCCCCAGAAGGCCCCCTAGAAGGCCCCCTAGAGGCCCCCCCTCTCCTAGAGGGCCCCCTAAAGGGGGGCCCTCACATATACCAATATAGCTAGCTGTCCTAATGAGTAGGATACTAGCTAATCTGAGGCCTCCTATTAGCTAGATTACAAGACATTAAGTTAGTTAAGTTAATTGGAGGGGGTTGAATTGACTACTTAAGGGATAGCGATAGCCTCACTTTGACTAGTTGACTTGAATAGTTTGCCAATCCGATTGCACTTGCGGAGACGCTGATCATTCATCCTGGAGACCCGTCACCTAAGCCCTTGCCAACAGAGCCGGGAGTCATACTTCCACCGATCAAAATGCAGCCAGTCCACCCGTCGACTACCCTCCCTCGATCTGCCAGAATCCATTTTGGCCGCACGTATTTTGTCGATCATCATATTCAAGTACGGGATCTTGGCCTAATACACCCCGTGTCTATGGAGGACCTGGAGTATCATTTCGTGAGCAACGTTACGAAAGTATCAGCGCAAGACGGGGACAAACAAATCTTGCAGAAGATTAAAGAAAAGGCATCGCAAAAGCCCATTGAAGCGGTGGATTTGGAAAGCGCGAACAATATTTGCCAAGCCATTGGCAAAGTTCTTGGGACAAAGTTTTCGCCGGTATTTCATCCGCCACCTGAGTTACTGGATTGATAGAGCCGCAATTTTGCGCCTGAAATGATAGAAAAGCAAATAACTTAGAATAGTGACTCATCTGAATCCTGTGCCTTTACCTCCTTCTCTTCGTAACAGTCTTCGGCGTTTTGCCATTTCCCCTTCATTCCTACCTAGTTGGAACGGCAAATGTGCTACGTGAAGAAAGCAGCCTTGTTCAAAGGCATTCGATCAAGAAGTAATTTAACCCTCGTACCTTTCGCGTTATCTTAGCTACCTCTAACAATGTATGTTTTCTGTGAAGGTGGAACAATAAGAGGCGGCCCACCGTCATTCGGGACCCACAATTCCAAATCCGTCCGCGCGACGGCGGACGAAACGCGGACGAACTCCATCCCCCAAACATCATCTCGTCCGGCTAGAGTCGAACGAACAACATCATGCACCACACCTTCTTCATCGATACTTTCTGCCAGGGTATCATGCAATGACTGCGACGCCGGATACGACCACCGGCAGCAGCCGTCACACAGCCTCGGAGCGGGCCGCCACGAAACGTCGAGCCGTCCGTAAGGGGACACGGAGCTGCTGGGAATGCCGGCGACGCAAGATCCGCTGCCTGTTTGACGAAAACGGTCCTCGCGACACGTGTCGGAGTTGCTGGCAGAAGGGCACGCCGTGCGTGGGCCAGGAGTTTCCGGAGGATCACCTGCTGCGGACGCAGGCCCCGGTCGGCAATGTTGGGGACCGTTTGGGCCGGATGGAGAGGCTGGTTGAGCAGCTGTATCGGAAGAATTCGAGGGAGTCTACTCAACAGATCGATGAAGAGGATGAGATTGGGGTTGAGTCGAATTGGGGAATCTCTGTGTCGCTGGGGTCTCCACAGCGTGATGCTGATGTTGAGGAGCTCGGCGAGGACCAGAGGATTGCTCACAGCCATGCCACATCATGTGTACAAGTGCGTTCGCAGCCGGCCACTGCGCATGAAAATGTTCCTACAAACTCAAAGTCACCGTCTTGTACATCGACGACAGAAGTACAGGCCATCAATGGCGAATCACAACGGACATCTCAGCCGCCACCCCATCAGAGCCACCACACATCGACTCTTCACCAACCTTCCCTGAACGGACCCCTAGCAACCCTTTCTAAAGATCTCGCCGCCGCCTTGCCGTCGAAAGAAGATTGCGAAATCATACGCGAACTGTACTCAGATGCCGACCTCGTGTTTCAACTCTTGCTCACGCCGCATCAAGTCCTTGAAAGTCTTCAACCAGAACCAGTAGAGCACTTCGTCGCGGGCTTATACCACCTCATGCATCCTGTCCTCTTGGCCAAAAGGATGCTCACACTAGCCACAATGTTGCAGAGGATCCCGTCCACCTACAAGTGCACGCCCTCAACCTCAGCAACCCCACGCAAGATCATGGAGCGACTCGCCGATGCGGCGATTTCGCTGGTCTGTGAAAACAACAATCTGATGGGAACCATCGACGCTCTTCAGTGTGTCATTCTCCAAACCGTGTATCTGGCAAACGGTGAAAATCTCAGACTATCTCTCTTGGCCTGCCGTAGAGCAGTATCAATCGCCCAACTCATGGGCATCCACCGCCCCCACGACCAATCGCCCGTCGAGACAGTCGACCCCTCCGGTGCCCCTGATACTCGCTTCGTCTGGTTCCGGATAGTCTATATTGAACGTTTTATCTGCCTGCTCTTAGGCTTGCCGGACAGCACCAGAGACCACCACTCCGGCCTGGCCTCGGACGGAACTATCCTTCCACCCCTCGACGATCATCCATTAGGCAGGCTTGAGCAGGTACACTGCGCAGTTTCATCCAGAATTATTCAAAGGAATCAGAAAGACTCTCATGCCAGCATGTTCGAAACAACTCATACTCTCGACCTCGAAATGCGCATGGCAGCCGCCGCTATGCCGCCAAGATGGTGGACTCTCCCTAAGTTCACCTCACTCGGCAGTAAAGCACTCAACTTGGTGACAGAAAGCCTGCGTCTCTGCGGCCAAATATTTCACTACTTCCTTCTGGTTCAGCTCCATCTCCCCTTTATGCTTCGCAGCACACCCTCTGGTGCGGCAAGCACCAGCAGAATCGCCTGCGTCGATGCATCCCGCGAAATACTCTCGCGGTTTGTGACTATACGCAGCGCCATAGGTGTGTGTAGCATCCCCGATGCCGCAGATTTCTTCGCCCTCATAGCCGCCATGACTCTTCTCCTGGCTCATATTGATGCGCGCAGACGGGATGGTGGGAACGATGTGCTGGCGCACCAGAGACATACAGATCGTGACAAGGTAGAAGAGACGCTGGAGCTGATGCGAGAGGGTAGCTCGACGTCGACCGACATGCTGGCGATGAAAAGTGCGGATGTCCTGGTGAGGCTACTAGATATCGAGGCTCATGCAGCAAGATGCTCAGCATTTACTGCAAACTCAACAACTGGCTCGATGTTGACACCATCTTCGGAAAGCAGAGATGTTCATGGGGGGGAGTCGAGTATTCTGCGGCTCAAGATCCCGTGCTATGGCACCGTCACTATCTCGCCCGATGCGCTGCTTTCGCGTGAGCCTTTCAGGCCGATCAATCAACAAGTCCAGCAAGAACAAGGGCGTATCGATGCTTGTACCGCTTCGGCCGTTTCGCCGGCTGCGCTGATGGAGATGGATGAGACAACCGGAGCAGGACCTGGACCAAGCGTGCCTTTCAGCTCCGATCAAGGTCTCCTATTGCATCCAAGCACTGAGGGCAATTGGCTCACAGATGGCCCAAGCCATCAGCTTTATGGTTCTGGGTTCTCTGTAGGAGTGGAAGACTGGGCATTTCAAGGAGTGGATGCGGCATTCTTTGACAGCATGATTAGGGGGTTCGAGGAATCGGACTCAACATGAGGTATTAGTTATCAATGTTGTAATTGACTGGGAGACTTCGAAGGTACTTGTAAGTTTTTAACACAATGTTACAATACCATTATCCAATTTGCTATGGCGCAATCTGTCGCCGGAGTCAAAAAAGAAAAGTGACCAGTTTCTTGCTGTGCGTCGCTTCCATCTTGATTCCATGCACCCAATAGGCTTCCAGATAACGGTATTCCCCAGACAGAACAAATTTTGTTTTCAGACGAAATACTCGGATCGATTGCAAGTACAACAACCTGCCTCTTTTGAAACAAAGAGAGTGGCCCATTCGCTCTGTTCCAACCGACATGCGGCACAGAATGCAGCTGCCTGCGCCAACACACCAGTGGCAACACCCAAACGCCGAAAGCCCCCAGGCAGCCGAATAACACACAGAAGTCCCAAGCCATCTGCTCTGTTCCTGCAGCAGCCATCATTCTTTTTCCACCGTGTAAACATCACGTAAAGCGACGAAGGGCGCCAACCGACATCGCCCGAATTTGTAATGCGGGATCCACCCAAACTGAGAAATGTCGCGGCGTGACTCAAGATGGCCTGTCCCACCACGCACAAACACATGTATCACACGTGAACTCCAGGCTTCTTCAAAACGGATAGGCAGTCGCTTACCAGGTGCAGGCATCCGTTTAACAAGACCGTGTCGGTGGTCTGGGCCCCTCCGGAGGTTTGGGCCGAAAGGCGGCGGAGGGGCCGAGGAGTCCGGACGAATCAAGGGGTAGGCATTTTCGGCGTTAAGAGACATGTTGTTTCGGCAATGGTACTTGATAAATGGTGGATATGTCCCTGGAAATACTCAGGTGAAGACACTGGTTCTTTGTACCCCCTTTCCATCATCTCAGTCAAGTATTCCTGCATTCATTATGCGTGAGATTGTAAGTATTGCGTCGTCATCGTCGTAAGCTGGGAAAAATGTGACGAAGTCTTACTGACGAATGTCCTCAACAGATCCACCTCCAGACTGGCCAATGTGTAAGTCAACATCTACCCTACTTTGTCGATGCTTTGCTGATGGCTTCGCACAGGGCAACCAAGTCGGAACCGCCTTCTGGTACATCCCCTAAGCGTCCCTCCTGAGACTCGAGCTTACACCGAGTGACTGCACAGGCAAACAATCCATGATGAACATGGCCTGGACCAAGATGGCTACTTCCACGGCGAATCCACGCAACAGTCCGACCGCCTGAGCGTCTACTTCGCCGAAGCCTCCAACAACAAATACGTCCCCCGCGCGGTCCTCGTGGACCTCGAGCCGGCCACAATGGACGCGATCCGCTCGGGCCCGCTGGGCAACTTCTTCCGTCCGGATAACATGGTTCACGGCCAGTCCGGCGCCGGCAATAACTGGGCCAAGGGGCATTATACCGAAGGCGCGGAGCTGGTGGATCAAGTCCTAGACGTCGTGCGGCGCGAGGCCGAGACGTGCGATTCCTTGCAGGGATTTCAGATCACGCATTCGCTGGGCGGCGGAACGGGCTCGGGCATGGGCACGCTGCTCATCGCCAAGGTGAGAGAAGAATTTCCGGACCGGATGATGGCTACTTTTTCGGTGCTGCCGTCGCCCAAAGTGTCGGAGGTCGTCGTGGAGCCGTATAATGCGACGCTATCGGTCCATCAACTTGTCGAAAACAGCGATGAGACATTTTGTATCGACAACGAAGCGTTGTACGATATCTGTCGCCGGACGCTGAAGCAGGCGCATCCGTCGTACGGGGATCTGAATAAGCTGGTGTCGAGGGTGATGTCCGGGCTGACGACGGGGTTCCGCTTCCCCGGACAGCTGAATGCGGATCTAAGGAAGTTGGCCGTGAATCTGGTGCCGTTTCCGAGGCTGCATTTCTTCACTGTTGGGTTTGCGCCGTTGACAACTGCGGCGGCGTACCAGAATCTCGGGGTGGCGGAGCTGACGCAGCAGATGTTCGATCCGAAGAATGTCATGTCGGCCTCGGATTTCCGGAACGGGCGGTTCTTGACCTGCTCTGCGATTTACCGCGGAAAGGTTTCGACGAAGCAGATTGAGGAGCAGATTCGAGGTGTGCAGGCGAAGAACTCGGCGTATTTCGTTGAGTGGATTCCGAATAATGTGCAAACTGCGCACTGTTCTATCCCACCTGTTGGAATGAATGCTTCCTCGACTTTCATCGGAAATTCAACGGCTATTCAGGACATTTTCAGGCGGGTTGGGGACCAGTTTAGTGTCATGTTTCGCAGAAAGGCGTTCTTGCATTGGTACACTGGGGAAGGCATGGATGAGATGGAGTTCACGGAGGCGGAGTCCAACATGAACGATCTCGTATCGGAATATCAGCAGTATCAAGACGCTGGTATGGATGATGACGAGGCTGAGAAGGCATATGACGAGGAGGAGCCAGTGGAGGAGTAAATGGAATTAACGCGTTAATCTCGCACGTTTGGCGTTGAAATCTCTGCAATGAATGTTTATTACTCATTGATTATCTAGACTGTGTATGTAAAATTAGGAAATAATCTCTTCTGCATCCCAAAACTGTTCTCCCTTTTCCTCGCCATCGCCAAGAAGTACCAACTTGCGCTCTATGCCGAGATCTTCAAGAAGATCTTCATATTGAACTAAGCGCTCCCGACTCTGAGCTGCAGCCGCTTCAGCTGGCGTACATCTCCTGCCCTAGATTGACTCGGGGATATGACTCCAAAACGGCCTGGACTCTGCATAAGGATTCGAGCCGACCTCAAGAAGATGCCGAGTAATGTCTCTGTGGCCAGCCGAGGCCGCAATATGTAGTAAAGTCCAACCTCGCTCATCCGTGTCGAAAATAACGGACTGTGGGTAATGTCGCATAAGTTCAATCAGAGTTCCCAGGTTCCCGTAGAAAACAGAGTGAAAGACTGCTGACCACCCAAGGGGAAGCTGTTTGATCATCAAATCAGCGCCGAGCTTGATTACTCTCCGCACTTCAAGGTCAGTGCCGTAGGCCGCCAGTCGGTGGAGCAATGTCCAGCCCCACTTGTCAATGAGATTTAACTCAATATCATCTGCCCTTGCCAAAAGGTTGATCTGGTCCAGCATGCTCCCCTGACCCATCTTCGTGATTGGCCATAGATAGAATATAGCAGACCATCCATTCATGCTAATGTGGTTCACATCAGCCCCTCGGGAGACCAGTCTCTCTACTATGTCTAATTTCCTGAGTCTAATAGCCCACTGAAGCGGGCTCCTGTAAAACGATTAGTCGAATATTGCAAACGAAATAATTAGCCGACTTCGCATTTTCTTACGTTTGTTTTTCCCCGAACGTCGTATTAACATTGATTCCATTGTCCAGCAGAAACTCAACAACCTCCTTGCTACCGCCCTTAATGGCAGACTATCTTGTGTTGGGATACCACGAAAGTTGAACACTGGGGTGTACTTACCGTCATAAGGGACCACCTTTGGCTCGTTATGTCACCCAATGTAGCCTTGCCCGGTTTGAGTTGCTGCTTCAACGTGAAGAGATCGCCCCTGCCACAGGCAATCATAGCAGCGGAGTCTTCCGCAACGATGCAGCCGAGCGAAATGACCGAGGGCGCTACAAGAGATAGGAACTGACAGTAGGGAGCCTTTTGGAGAGCTATCTGTCCCCCTAGACTATAAATCCCCGGAACAATTGGTAATTGAAAGGCCAGAACATAATGTTTCAATGAGCCGTTTGACCATACCTCCGAGATTTTCACGAGTGAAATGTGACAACCTAGCCATCGAAGCCAGCCTGGGAAGAAAAGGACGTAGTAAGAAATATTCTGAGGATGTTCTTGTGTTACAGGATATCGGGGGGACCCAGCTGTCAAGACTGGTTCGGTGTTGCGACTGCCCTCCAATTTGTCAGATAAGTCGATGACAAGACTCTTTATGGAGTCGATTTCGAGAGCCATGTCGGACTACTCTTGGCTGATGAATCAAAAGTCAGTACACTGCTGGAAAAAGGATATGGCTTGCTTACAGTCCAATGATTTGGAAAAGAGTCTTCAAACTCGATTGCATAGTCTTCAGCTCATTCATTTGCTTTTCCACGTCTGGATGGCCAATAACTGCCCATCGAAGCAATTTACGCCTTCCATTTTGCGTCTCCAACTTTACACACGTCGTCTCAATTGACAGAAGTATGGCTTGAGCGGAGTCAAGGGTTGCCAGCACAGCCCGCTGACCATCTGGACTGATGTAACCTCTAGCACCGCGAGATATCAGTAGCTGTACGTGCTGCAATCCGCTGTGTATCAGATGCAGATCTGTCTCGATTGCGCTAAAAATCGCTGGCGCATCTTTGAGACGCTGGCGAATGGCCCTGGTAACTTTGACTGTGGACGCTGCGGCCTCGATCAATGCTACTATTGACGCTGCTAGCCCGATTGCTTCCATGGCGGTGTGTCGAACAGTCGAACGTAGCCAGGCATTCTGTGATGGACTGCCTTGGCTGCTTATATCAAAGGGTGGGCTTCCGTGGAGAAGAAGTTTCCCACAGAAATGATTGGCAGGATAATACGATTTCGTTCAAGATGCCGAATGGTCGTGCTGCCTAATGCTGCCCGCCTATCAGATGCGTATAAGACAGCCACCTTGGCGCTGACCGACTCCAAATTGAATGGGTCATTTTCCAATGCATGAGAAATGAGGCGAGCAAGCGGGAGGATCCGCTGTCGCCTGCCTTCGCGTTTGCCAACCAAATTACGATCGCTTAGACATTTCTGCCACCTCACGACGCAGCGGAGGCGATGCATCACGCCCTAAACATGCACGTGGCATGGTGACGAATTCTCGCAAGATTGCTGATAGTCTTGAGGATACATTTAAGATGCATTGGAATGGATCATGCTACTACCAGAAAAGGTCAATGCATACTGAGCCGTCGAAGATCTATCCTCCTCGCTGATCGGTGCTCGCTGATCGTTTCATAAGTCTATCGAGATAAAATCCCACCAGAGCAAACACCTCCTAATTTTAAGTGCGAGTAGCACTGAAGACTTTTTGAAATTGCCTCTACCTTTGAGTAGTAGGTGAGGCATGGCCGAACGTCCCAGGTTGACATTGAGAGCTAATATCGTAAAGCGGCTCCGGCGGGTCGGACAGCCCCAACCCAGTCCTGGACATCTACGTAAACGATACTGCTAGTGTGCCCGATCGTCTCACAAACGGTGGACGAAAATGAGATCAAAGATGATGATAAGGTCGCCCTCTCGTATTGCGCTCGATAGCTCATGGTCTAGGCTGCGTTTAGGAAGTCAACTCGCTTGATACGCTAGCACGTTAAGATTGCCCTTCACAGGCCACCTCACGCAGAAGGCGTTGATAAAAGGCGTTGGTAAACATTAAGTAGCATCAAAATAAGTGTTGGACCTCATCATGTACCCCATCCGCGGTCACATGCATATTCGCATCCTCCTAATACAATGGTGAACAGAATCTCGTTGTGATGGCTATAAACCTGGAAGGCTTGACACAAAAAGTCGAGACGGCTGGTACCGGCCGAAGAGGACCCACCGGCTTCCATCGGCTCGGGCCCGAAGCGAGGTTACGGGGGCTTGTGATGACTCAGCTCGGTGAAGTCAGTGTCGGTGAGAGCTTAGGTGGGGCTGGCAAATGGAATTGTCGTCATTGCTAATTCATTCTGCCGCTTCTTCCTCCACACAAGCTTCCACCAGGTATTTGGCCGTTGCACCTGGTCATGAACCACTCTTGAAGGCGCTTATTATCATTTTCAAGCGACTATCTGCCCGAAATGTCCAGCATTTGGGCCCTCAGCAGTCGAGCTCGCCTGCCCATGGCGGGGCCGATTCGAGCTTTTCGACCGTTGAACTTCTCGACGACGAGCGCCGCCCGCGCCGCCGAAATACGCGAAGTCTCCTCCCTTCCTCGAAGAATAGTTCCGAAGTACCGAGACCCTCCAAACTCGACTTCCGGCCTGCTGTCTCTGCACTGGCCGACACCACCACGAAATATCCTCCTCATGCCGAAGCTGCGGTCGCCCCAAGTCCTGCGTGCGACGATCGATTTTGCGAAGCACCTGAATAGCACATACACAGGCCTCAACCTGATTTTCGAGCCGCGAGTTGCGACGATGGTCCACGAGTCGCTCAACTTCCCCATCTACACCTGCGATCCCTCGAGTTTCCCCGACAAGATCGACATGATCACTACACTGGGCGGTGACGGAACGATCTTGCGCGCAGCCAGCCACTTCAGCATGTACTCCTCCGTACCACCGATCCTCGCTTTCAACTTTGGGACGATAGGGTTCTTGGCTGAATGGAAATTTGAGGAATACAAAAGAGCGTGGAGGGAGGCATACATGAGCGGCAGCGGGGTTGCGACCGAGGATTTGATGGGGCCGCACACGAGGGTTGCCAGTGGAGAGATGGAGCACGAGCCGAAGAACAAAGACAATGGATGGCACCACTCTCCTGGAAAGAGTATGGGTCCGAGCAGAGCGGCGAAGATTCTTCTTCGACACCGGTTGCGAGTCGGGGTCTTCGACACGAATGGTCAGAACATTAATAGCCAATTGCTGCCGACGACCAAGTCGCAGGCGCATCTCCCTGCGACACCACCAGAAGACACCATCTTGACAAAGCGCGACATACCGCAGCCTATCCACGCGCTCAACGAACTGCTCATTCACCGTGGCCCGAAACCACACCTCGCCCATATCGACATCTACCTGAACAACCGCTTCCTCACAGAAGCCGTCGCCGACGGCATACTCCTGAGCACGCCTACCGGCTCAACCGCTTACAGCCTCAGCGCCGGCGGTTCCATCATCCACCCCCTCGTCAAATCTCTCCTCATCACACCAATCTGCCCCCGAAGTCTCAGTTTCCGTCCGCTGGTGCTTCCCCTCAATACCAAAGTTACGCTCAAAGTCAGCAGCAAGAACCGCGATGGCGAGCTCGAGGTGAGTATCGATGGCAAGCGCAGCGCCGGCGCCCCGATCGGCACCGAAATTCGCGTCGAGGGTGAGATGGTAGGCGAGTCTGGCAGCGGCGACTGGAAAGGCGGCGTACCCTGTGTCATCTGCGGACCTGGTAAGGGCGACGCGGCCGAGTACGATGATGACGGCTGGGTTGGCGGTTTGAACGGGCTGTTGATGTTCAACTACCCCATCGGAAGGGGGCAGTGAATCTATTCTTGATACCCGAATGTAACACCAAAAGTCTTTCTGGATGGCGTTGGAGGGATCTTGCACAATGGCATTGCATGGGAAAAGGAATCGGCTTTCATCTTTGTGGGTAGTACTCATTCTTTCAGCTTCACAAAAGCAATGCACAACGGCGGACTGTTCGCTTTGAGCCAATTACAGCTAGACTTTGTTATGGAGTCTGTTTTTGAGCTCATGTTGATGTGATGGGGTCTTTGATCTCGAACATCGCTCTGGCTAACAATGGGGTTGTTTACAAACATTCGGCCTATATCATGAAGGCATCGTCGTAGCATTCCGAGTAATCGACTCCAACATCATCAGCTTTTCTCTCATCAACAATCAAACCATTAATCATATCTATTAGACTCACGACTACTACGTCTGCTCGTTACAACTTCATTTCAACCAATTATCACTCATCTTAACTAAGACGACGCCAGCGATAACGACAGACAAGACAACCGGGACAACGACAGAGGACAGAGACAACGACAGAGACGAAACTCCGATTTACACATAGCGTCCGCCATCTCAAGCCCAACATGAGCAACGTCAACTCCAATACCTGGAGCTTCAATGATCTTCCTGTCCACCCCTTTTGCAACCTCCCCGGGGAGCTCCAGGATGAAATCTACGAGGTTGCTAGTGCTGCGGAACCTGACCAACCGCAGATTCGCTTCGTGAACTTTAGAGAACACCGCACTCACCAGCCAAATTGCCCTCCGTTTAGCATCACCCCCTGCCCCTGCAAAAATGCCCACTACCTCACCTTCCACCCCCTTCGACGTCAAGACGTCGCCAACCAAACAAGCTGGCGCCAAATCATCCATGTAATTGAGTCTTCCACCCCAGATGTGCGAGTTGCAAGTATTAACCACCGAAGTCGCGACGCATCTGACCGCTTCAACGTGTTGAACCGTTTCCCTCAGCAGCAGGGTAACTGGTCCTTGACCACCGTGTCCACCATGACCTCAGCCGAACGTGCGGCATGCCGACACACCCCGAAGACCTTCATCGGCGACCCAACGCGGTGCAGATTGCAGGATCTCGTCCTAGTCCACTTCCCCGCAAACCAAACCATGCCGGTGACGTGGATCGGGAAGCCCTTGTTCTTCGACCCGCTGTGCGGTGACCTCAAGGCCATCGCTGTGACTATGGACAACTGGAAGGACCAGGCCTATAGCAACTACCTCGGCAAGTGGCTGAAGTTGATGGATGACGGGCGAGCGAGGTCCTGGAAACTGCTTGAGCAGTACGGTGCTGACAACGTCGCCGACGGGAACTATCCGACGGACTGGGTAACAACTGGCCAGACCCCAGGCTATGTCCCATGGTACCCTTGGTATCCCCAGCGCAGGCTGAACTACGACATGCCCTCAGGAAACATGAATTTGCGCATCCTGTATGATATCTTCACCGACGTCAAGGAGTTGTGGCTCCTAGACCTTGACGCACTGGATTACAACGTCAATCTCAACGAAATCCTCAGGTACCGCAACACGTACGACACACCCCCAAGACTCTGTCGCTATTGTAGGTATGTGCACGATGGGTATCCCAAGGTCTTTGGGGGTGTGGATGCGTATGAGTTCATGGAGCTGCGGCTGTGTGACACATGGTTCCAGAGGAGATTTGGCATTGCATTTGATGCGACGGATTTCTTGGAAGCTCAAAGACAGCTGTCGATGGACTGGTCGAGGGATCGTGATTGCCATGATCGTTCTTGGACCAGGTCGCAGCCGGTGGCGAAGTTGCTTGTGCCGATTCCCAAGATGCCGTGAGTGGCATCAAGATAGGGGTAGTGATAAGGATAGCGACGATGGACGACCATGATGGACGATCCCGATGGACGACGATAGACGACGATAGACGACGATGATAGACACTGCGCGGGTCGTGAAACTCCATGATATACGTAGGTAGGTTGATGTTCAAGAGTATAGAGACGGCATACATAGCATTTGTTTTGAACATGTCGATTTGATAGTTTCCGCTCGCCCTTTCACAAGCGGAATTGTTTAAACACTAAGATAAAATGGGATCACCCCAGGATCCATACCCGTCCAGATAAATGGCATTCCTTGGCTCAACCCTTGGTCGCCAAACTTGCGCGTGCTGATTTCCTTGCTGATTGTGCCCATTGCCTTCATGAACTGTTCATTGGCAGCCTTCACAGCTTCCCCAGTGCCAGAGAGTAGAGTTTCAACATCAAACATGTGCAGCAGCGTCTCATTGTTCTCAACAATCTTCGGTCTGTTGAACCGTGCCAGGAGCGAGATCTGCTCGACAGACTTCTCCTCGTTCGGCAACCAGGGGAGAAGATCTTTGATGCCGCCCTTGGCTATTGGCATGGGGGCGTACAGCGAAGCTGGATGGAGAGGCAAGACTCCCGAGGTGGTGAAGGGCTCGCCTTGGTTCAGGACGTGGTGGGAAACGCCGGTGAGCCAGGCCATGTGCGTAAGGATCTCAACAAGCTGCTTCCGGGTGTTGATCGGGGCGGAAGGGAAGTCGATGACTTTGGCGGGACCGTGGGCCTCGGTAATCCAGGCCTGGAGTTCTGAATCTTCAGTCAGAACTTTATCAGACTCATAGATGGTGTCGACGAAGGTTTCAATGAACGTGCGGATGGCACCGATAATCTTGTGGCCATCTTCGTGGAAGGGGAAGTAAGGCAGCTCCGGACCGTAGGAGGCGTTCAACAGCCCTCTCGCGCGGAGGTCCTCCTCGAAGTAGTTCGCCTGGAATGGCCCAGCGACAGTTGGGTAGAAGTCTGTCGCAAACTTCCTCGCATATACGTTGGAGAACGCAAAGCTCTGATCAAACAATCCGCCCGGGTTGAACAGCGCGATCTCACCGGTCGCTCTGATGGCGTAGGCCTGGAACATGAGGCGCTGCAGGAGTCCGAATACAGGATGTCGGCTGCTGAGCGTGCGAATGGCAGCCAGGTTGACAATCTCAGCGACAGCATGGGAGTTGGCGAGGTGGTAGATCTGGCCGTGAAAGAAGTCGTTGACGTTGTACATGATTTTGGCGAGAAGCCAGTCGTTGGGGTCGTCCAGGGGTGTGTAAACCAGGTCTGAGCCGACGTTGGTCTTGATGGCCAGCGGGAGGAAGTGCCCGGACCACTCATCGAGGAAGAAGAGCGCCTGACAGGCGGCTGAGTAACGGCCATCTTGGGCTGTGTATTCGGCTTGATAGCTGTGGTCTGCCAGGAAGAGACTGCCGGACTTGAAGAGGGCGTCGATGGTTGTCCCCGTGAGATGGGTGACGTTATTGGCGTCGACAGAGAATGGGAGTTTGTCGGAGTTTGGGTTGAGGCGGCGGACAACATAGGGATTTGTAGACAGCCGCTCCATAGCGAAGAGGAGGTCTGAGGTAAAGTTGCTGAATTGACCTTGGGCGATGCCGCCAGGCACTGACCCGGACCAGTGGCCATCGTACAGGATCTTGTAGTCTTCCAAAGTCTTGAGTCCGCCATGCTATAAACCGAGTGGTTAGACTTGCGACGGGCTTTTCTGGGATCCGAAGTGAGCTTACATCTTGAATGGCCTTGAGCGATGCGTTGCCCTCTCTGAAGGCATCTTGCTGCACTGGAGTCAAGTCCTGGATCCACTTGGCTTGCTCCTGTCTAACTATCTGGGTTCCGACAGAACCTCCCATGAAGAGAGAGGTTTCTCCAATGATCGAGGGTACGTAGGTTATGGTGTCACGCTTGAGCTTGATTTCGACATTCCTTTCTTGGAGGTTTTGATCATCCTGTGGGAGTGTGTATTGTGTAGGAGTTGGGAAACCGGTCCAGGCAGTGGGGGTGGCTACTGCTGTTGAAGACGTGACATTGCCATCAGCCCTTAGAGCTAGAGCATTGGCAGCGGCCGTGAGACCGGCAATGGATAAAAGAAGTCGCATGTCGACTGAAGGATCAAAGATGGTGTGATGAGATAGGTAGTTGCTTGCACTGCTGATGAAAACACATCTTCAGCATATCGAGAAACATGTCGCTTTTAATATCAAGAATTTATTCCATGCAAGCTCAATGAGGCTAAAACTGAATTGAGACAAGAATCCAGAAGTGGTCATCTTCCCGCCGGTCGCCTAGTCTCTATGCCTTACTGCGCCATTTCACGCTGACAATTGCCCAAGACCTCAGTGGATGACGAACAAAGAATAAGCCTCGATGGTTCCTAAGCAAGGGCTCATACGACATCAGCATCCCAAATAGGACAGAATATTGCAGTTTGCCATTCATCTCGGATAAGACTCGTATCTAGGCACCAACCCACTGAGTCATTCAATTGTTCACCTGTCCGCGGGCAAACTACAGGATTTGATGCGGCTGGTTCGGCCCGAGCCTGCTTCAACAGTTCATGTCAAGTGCGAGAATGTAATTGCTCATGTGACAATGAAGGGAACAATAGGATGTCGGTGAGATATGTACGCGTTGAGTTACGAAGGATGGCCAAAGTGAGATCCGTGCCAAGGCCTGTGCCTCAAGACCATGTTTTCACGACACTGTCTATGCTCGTTCTGATGTAGTTTGTGACCTGTCCGAGTTTTCGCTCTTCCTTCATTCCCTTTTCGCAAGTTCTGCCTGCATTTGCTTCCATCCATTCTCGAAGGATAGACACCGAAATGGCGGTGACTGTGACAAAGGATTTTGCTATCACAAACTTGCGCCTGCTTTGGAAGTAACTGGCAATGTGGCGACGCGGCTTTTCTAATTTGTGACGAGCTCAAAGACAAGCAAACGATCTAGGTGTCGAGATTTCCTTAAAATTCGTACCATGAGCGAGACGTAGTATGAATCCTTGGGCTCTTATGGAGGAACGGTTAGACCACATAAAAGGGCCGTCACGGAAACACAGTCCCAACATTCCTGAATCCGTGCATACCCAGCCTTCTTGCAAATATGTCGAAACTCGAAAGCTTTCTGTTGCTCTTCACAGTCATCGTACCCTCAGCACTTTCCTTTCCTGGTCATCAGGACTGGATCTTGGCTGCGCGGGACCAAGTGGCTATCGGTCACAACGACCTCTACATCCCCGACCCGAAGAACCCCACGCCGTACAAGGAGCCTTTCACGTGGGACGAAAAGATCAACTACTACGAAAAACACACCAACGGCTCAGGCAACGGCTACTATCGGCGAGCTTCATGTCCTGCGCTCAATACGCTCGCTAACCGCGGGTTCATCAACCGCTCCGGCCGCAACATCAGCTACGACGAAATCGCACAGGCTATGCGGGTGGTGTGGAACTTTGGTGATGACAATGTAAGCCGCTTGTTGCCTGCTGAATACGACAGTCCACTCACAGCCCTCAGATCGCGCTTGTAGTCAGCCCGACTAGCCAATTGCATCCCGGCCCTCGTATCGACCTCGACAACTTCAATGATGATCCCGTGCAGTTTATAGTCAACTGCATCGCCGCTCCAACCCGAAATGACAGGGGCATGGGTGACAACGTCAACATGAACCACACCCTCTTCGAGCAACTCCTCTCAGCCTCAAAGGATGGCGAGACTCTGACGCTTGAAGACGCTGCGGAGCACCACCACCGCCGTCACAACGACTCCAAGGCCATAAACCCCAAGTTCAGGTTCGGCAACCACGGCGCTGTCTGCTCGCTCGCGCAGTATGCCAACTTATTTGGTGTCCTGGGTCGCCGTGGTAAGCATGGACCAACGACGTTGTATATCGAGGACGTGAAGAAATTTTACCTGGACGATGATTGGCCTGTCGGATACGAGAGACGTCAGCTGCCTTACTATTCAACTGAGGCGGGTAGCTTTCTTGAGCGGATGGCTAGACACATTGGGTACGAGATTCAGAGGCCTTATCCTGCGAATGAGTCGCAGTTGTATGATGTTGAAGGGGATGTTGCTGTCTTTGATGTGTTGCCTCCTTGGGGGCTACCGGAGAAGTACTAATCAAATGAGTAAACGCGGATGTATCCCATGTAATCTCAGATAGCTCTTTCCTCAACTCTTATTTCTGATTGCCTAGCCTGCGGCTTAACATGCAACTCGCATTTTCATCATCCTCAAATTTCTTGTCGGTGTCGTCCCTGGCGCCCATTTGTGCTCTAAGAACGATCTTGCTCCTACGTATAAAGATGCCTACCTGCATCATCATAAGTTTCGATGTGAATAACTGGACTTCACAACTTGTGCTGCTTCTTTTGAGGCTGGGCCTTTTTCCAAGCCGCGGCGGTCTCGTTCATCTTCGCGCACTTGATACTGAGAGCTTCGTAAAGATCCTTATGAACACCCCCCGCTTCCACCAGGTTCGCAACCTTGCCCTTGCCGTAGTCGAAGAACACGATCCATCCTTCCGACTCAGCTACTGGAGCTTGCTGCCTAAGAGACCACATGGTCGTGGTGATGAAGTAGCGGTCGGGTCTTACTTCGCCCAAACGAATGGCACAGATGATCTGATATTTCGTACGCCAATGTCAGCGTAGTGTACGGCCAAGGCATGGCAATTGGCCCCCAAGACTAAGGCGGCCCGACTTACCGAGTCGGGGTAAGAAACAGGTCTCTTGATGTCGACAGTGAACTGCTTGACCATGACCCCGATGCCCTTTGCATTGATGAAGTCGTTGATCTTGTCACCGAGCTGCGCCTCAAAGCTCTCGAACACGCGGAAGTTGCATGAAGACGCGAAGTGGGAGAAGCCTGCGTTCATGATGTGCCCGAAAGGATCTTGGTCGTCGGCCCACACCACGCCCTGCCACAATGATGAGCTCATGATATGATTAATAGTCACAAAGGCGACTACTCACGTGCTCAATCATTGTTTCCTCATCGTAGCCTTGTTCCAAAACCTTCTTGATCAGGTTCTCCCGAAGGGGCTGATAGGCTGCGCCGCCGCCCGGTGCGTGGTAGGACGACGCCTCGAGGCGAGACGTAAAGGTCTTGATTTTGCGAGACATGGCAAAATTGATGAATACTTCAGATTGAACTTTTGTCTTGAGCACGAAGGTTTGTTGCAAAGCACAGATTACCCGTCACGAAGCATGAAGGATTCACCCTGTCAAGATATGGACGCACGCAGTAACGAGCACGCTTCGGCCCAGGCTGACATCCAGCCATTGAACCGAGGCTGAACTCGTTCTGTGTGACATTGATTACATATATTTCCAGGGCGTTTAAGACATGTGACGTAAGCCGGGCGAAGAGGGAATTCAGCCGCTGTTCTGTGTTATCTCCACCGTCAGCTGACCACCTGAGACCTTCCCAAAGCCTCTTAGTCAACCCCCAAAGTAAGCCGTACGTCTTGTGTCCTTGATGTTTGGCATCTTTTCATAAATAGTCCTTCATAACTACCTAGTTAAGGTTACAATTTCCGGTCCTTTGCCAAGGTTCTCAAGAGCATGCACCCGGATAGCTTGACTCTTTCGCTTGATCACCGCCGCTAGGAATGGACGATCATAGTGAATGCCTTGAGACTTTCTAAGCCTCATCTGCGTATTTCGAAAGGAGGAAGCGACTTTGAAATAGGTGGAATTAAAGTTTCTATTCATAAGGCCTTATTTTGCCTGGATGCCTTGTTCGAGTGTGGCGTCACCGAGCAAAGTAAACTCTCGGGTTGGTCGACGCCTATTTACAATGCACCCGGGCTAGGCGGCAGTTCGCCCGAGTCCCACTCCTGCGGTTCCGCGCCCATCACGAACTCAAGCCTGCCTCCTACACCATTCTCGCCTAGAAGATCATCATGCGTGACCCAGCTCTTGTGCCATTCCTTGCCATTCACCTTCAAAGACTGGATATACGGACCTTGATCGAGCCCAGTGGCTGTGAGCTGTAATTGGCCGCCGTCTTTGCCGAGCTTGATGGTTGTGTTCTCGAATCGAGGTGAAAGAATCAGGTAAACAGGCTGAGTAACCACAGGGTAGAGTCCGAGCATGTTCCACACGAGCCAGCTGCTCATACTTCCGGCATCGTCGTTGCCTGGAATACCGCTGGGTCCGACGTGGTAATACTCATCCACGACGAACTTGCTTCTCATCACACTCTTCCACTGCCTGCCCTTGATGTAGTTGTAAAGGAATGGAGTCATGAAACTGGGTTCGTTGCCAGGGTTGTAAATCATGCTGCCGATGCCGTTGTTGCCCTGCTCCTGCTCACCAAGTCCGGGAATGAAGCTGGTGTCAAGTCGGCTTTCAAACTTAGCAGGGCCGCCCATTAATGTGATCAAGGTAGACATGTCGTGAGGAGCAGTGAAGCTGTATTCCCAAGGGGTGCCTTCGTAAGAGATAGCTTCCCAGTTGCACTCGCCGCATGCAAGGGGACTGTATCCAGGGAGAACGGTGCCATTGGACTGCAGCGGGGCGAGGAAACCGGTGAAGTTCAGCGCAGCTACATCAGCGAGCCAGATCTTCTGCCATCCGCTATTTATGCTACGTCAGTCTTGTCTCTAAGAATGCCTGATACTCCGGAGAGGTCTTACGTGGATCTGTTCAAATACTTCCCGGTATCATCTGGCGCCTCGCCCTTGGCAATTTGAGAGACAGCAAAGTCGTTCAAAGAGTACTCCACCGTCTTGCTGACGCTTCGTCCGTAGTTAGTCGATACGTATCCGTACTTCTTCCAGTCATCCAAGGCGCCTCTCCCCTCCTTTGTGCTCCCCGTGGGGTCGTTGAAGTCAAAGTTATTGTAAGGCTGCAGCTCGGCATTGGTACGGACGGCAGCATAGCCGTCTGCCCAGTTAATGAGTTTATCCTTGTCAAGCTTCTTGACGTAGGCGTCGGCAAGGACGTTGTCGGAGTTCGAACCACCTTGGACACGCCCATTGTGGTTGTGGCTGCGGCCTTCGGGCAAGAAGCGCTCGTGTCGCCAAATGTCGATCATGGCCCGGACTAAAATATGTAAGCTGGAAACTTCATGGCATGTCTAGGGCATTCTTACTCATGTCGACTTGCCGGTCCGGAAGAATTAGTGAGATCAGCGCGTGGGTGCAGCGGAAGGTGTCCCACAGGGTATAGAAATCGTCATAGTACGGCTCTTTCGACTCCCAGGCAGGATTCTCCCCCGTGCGATCAGAGGGCATCAGATGCGAGTGGTAAAGACCGGTGTAGAACATCTCCAGCTGTGTCTCGTTCTGAGTTTGGACATCAATCTTGGACAACACCTCATCGTTCCATGCGGCCTTCGCCTGTGTCACGGTCTTGTTCAGGTCCCAATGAGGAATCTCATCCTTGATGAACTGGCAAGCTTTCTCGGTTGAGATCCACGAGACGCCCACTTTTGATGTCAAGGTAGACACGGTCGAGGGGAATGAGAAGATGCCTCCAATACGGTTGGCATATTGATAGCCATCGATGCCTCCATGGATCGACGTCGCGTTGTTGTAAAACGGCTTGACGTCCGTCGTATTGGGCCAGTACGGATCTGTGTAGATGCCAGAGAACAGGCCGACGTCTTCCGGCACGCTGTCAAACTGGCCACAAAAGTAGATCTTGAAATCGCCGCCTGCAAAGGGTCGGTTAGCCTGTACTTCTACTCCAGCATCTTGTAACCTACCAAGTGACCAGCCTTCCCTGTAGATACCATATCCGGAGTATGTTGAGCCGTCTTCACTGCGCTCGAGGAACCCATTGCTGTACCACTGAGATTCCTTACCACGTGTCGGCAGGTAGTGACTCAGATCAACCAGGACATGGCGGCCGCCATCCTTGGAGAACTCGTACTTGATGATGCCTGCGTGCATGCTGGCGCTCATCTCTGCCGTGACTCCATTTTCCAGCACCGTCTTGTAGTATCCGACCTCTGCCACATCATGCCCGACTCTGGGTTGCATGTATGTGATGTTATCCAGCAGATTCACGCCCTCAAGTGTAGTGAGGGGCATCTGAGGAATCAAACCATAGGTGGGAGCACCTCCCGTTCCGCTGACGTGCAGCATGGTGATGGCGGTGACGTTGCCTTCGACTGTGTAGCCCGCGTTTGCCTGGTACCTGGTGTCCCATCTCGTGGTGTCGATGCCGACCTTGACGGCGCCAAACGGCAGAGTTGGTCCGGGGAAGACGTTGCCGCCTTGGTACGACGAACCGTCGGGACCTTCTGTCCCAAGGAACAAGTCGACGTGTGGCGTGAAGTCCTTCGCCTCTGCGACTCCGAAAAGGCCGACCGCAACAGCGCTCACGCCGACGGCGAACGTGCGAAACACTCCCATGATAACGGACTTGGCTGATCAATCGGATGCAACGCAAGACGCCACCCTCATCTGGGTTCGGGGAGTTTTTATGCTCACGAGTCGCATGCTCATTTGGCGGACGGCATTGACCCGAAGGGTCGGATTCGGTGCTGTCGATCTACATGATTGCAACCTTGGAAATGTTGTTTTTATCCACTTTCCCCGCATAGAACGAATGACTTTATGGGGAACTGCCGGGAGACGATACTTGGATTGGTTAGGACGCCGGCATCGCCAGATTGTTTAAAAGGAAGTCTTGTCCCCCCTCACCTTGGCAGCTCCGCGAAACTCCGCTGCCAATTAGCTAAGAGGAGCTGTTCGCTTGTTTGATGATGTCAGTGCCAGGAAGGCCTGGCTTGTGGGGGGTCAGATGATGCCAATTGATTTTAGGTCGAGAGTTTAAGCATCACTTCGGCCTTAGGATCATGGTGTTTTTGTGAATTTGTGTACGCTTCCCTTGCAACTGAATTCCGGGCCGCTTAGCTGTGTTGACTCGTCTTGAAACCTTTCTCAGTTTTGATGTACGCGAGTTCCATGGCCGGACGCGCTGGAAAAGTCGGGCAATTCGCACTGGCTTTACGGTTAAATTGAGAGTTCAAGCCATGAGTTTATCCAGCGCTACCGGCTGTGTGGGGGAACGCCGTTGCCGGAGTATTCTCCACTCACTAAAGACATGGGTCCGGGAACAACTCAACGATAAGATGGGATGAACCGCGAGACATGAGCTACGAGAAGAACGGCGGCTAGGTTGGTCATTAAAAACGCAGTGTCGAATCTATACCGGCGAGTTTGGCCTGAATTTTCATCATCAAGTCTTCGTTAAGATTCAAAGTCTTGCCCAAATAAGTCCACTCTCAAGTATTGTTAGAGGCATTTCAAGTCTTGTTGGCCCGTTCGTTACTTGGCATTTCGATAGAAACTTCATCTTCAAAGGACTTGCGGATCACCTCGAGGGTAGAAGAGTATATTATTTGGCTTATTGCTCATTCTACCACGTTTTCCTCCGCCAGAGGTCCTAACACCAGTTTGGAATCCACACGTACAACCTCAATTATCGAGCGATGAGGTCTTAGCTGCTTAAGTGTGGATCCACGTTGTCAACTGCAAGCCTCTCACAGCGACAGCTCCATGAGAGCGGCCCTCAGGACTATCAACAGACGATTTCCATCTCCTAAGCACAACCTCCAAGGGGCTTCGAGTTGTCGTAGGGGCACTGGCGGGTCTCCAACTCAGGCTGAACTTGAGGGTTGGTGGGAGCAGCGAAGGCCAAGGTGGCTGTCGTCAATGATGTGATTAGTACTTGACCACTGTTCAGCGTTTGGATCGAAGGGCCGAAGACATACCGAACAGGGCGAAAACTTGAAGGAACTTCATTTCGATGAGGTGATTGGGTTGATAGTTGTCTGAAGTAGTCCGGATGATTGTGAGTTATGTAGCGGTGAAGACGAGAGCGAGGAGCTTACGGAGCTGATGTGCCTCCTTTATAGGCGACCGGTCTCCGTTCACTACGAGCTTGCTATCAGATTAAGCTATCTCACCCCATCATTTGACCTAACTGTCTACGCGAGGAGTGTATGCCAGGCGATCAGATGCCGGCTTGGCACGTAAAGCTTGTCCTGACCACGCCGCCGTCGGGTAGATGATGCAGATGAAACGATCTGATAAGATGAGATAGAGAGGCCGAGCCCCACGATCCATGAACCCGTCTCATTGTGGGCGTATTGAATGTGACGCTAGTCGCATTTCATTGGGACCCAGGGCAGACGCGAACCGTGAGAGGATCGCTTCAGGTTTTCCTGCCCCAGTGATTTGCCTCGTACTCCATCCCGCGCAACACGAGCCCGCGCGGTTGCCCATTCCAGCGCCTTGCACGGCCCAAATCAACCGACCATCGAATCTCCGAGAGCCATACGATCTCCGAGTTTGAAAGGTGAGAAAATTGAGGTTTTATGACTGTAGGGTCAGAAATGCGGCGTAGGATAATTGCTATTCGACCTCTTCGCATTCTTGGAAGAACATGTTTCTAAGCTGGTCCACGGCAGAGCGACGAACAAAGGAGCTTCAGGATTTCTTGAATTTTCGCTCGAGACGAGGAATGGTTAGGAGCCGGGAGGAGAATGAAGAGAAGCAGATGAGCGAGAATTAAGTTTCTTGAACTTGCATCGTCTACTCGGCATGAACAGAGATTGAAACCTGGAACTATCCGTGCAGGTGTGGAGTAAGGACGTAGACAGTATTCGATAAGGTGTCTTACGTTAGGAATACAAAGCCTTCCAAGTTGCTCGAAATCACAAAGCATTGGAAATGATAACCTAGATTCCAGTCTCTACCTCAGGTTTGACGAAAGATCCGAATCATGATTCTCAACAAGACATTCCCGACTAAGAGGAAGCTTTCTAGCGATCAAGCTATCGGGACTTCTTATGATCTTCAAATGCAACTTGTTATCTTGCCCCAGCATGACTGACCATCAAAATCAAGCTTCCAGGGAGAAATCTTCTGTCTCGACAGGTTGGTTGGAGTATCAGCTAACCGAAAGTTTCGTATATCGAGAACATTGAGATGGACTGGCGGAAAGACTAAAGGGTTGAAGAAACGGGAAGAATAACGCCAAAAGGTAATGTTGTTTTCGGAGACCTTGCGTAACCTAAGATGATGAAGTTGATTGGCAAGGAACCTTTATAGACATATTGAAGGTATCTCCCATCCTGCCTACGCCTGGCGAGTGAGGCTATGTTATTGTCCCCCTGAGACATCGGTGAAATTTAGCGCCAGCGTTAATGGCGCGCTGCCCTCGTCCGGAGCACCATGATGAGTTGTCGACATGTAGACGAGGAACAGCTCAGAGTATCAAAAAAGTAAAAGGAAAAAGACAAAAAAAAAAAGAGGAGAAAAGAAGACAGCCGAGTGATCCTTCAAGGTCCCGGAGTGAGTAATAGCCAGAGTAGTTAGAATGGTTTTAGTTGAACTCAAATCAACCCCTCGTTGAAGGCTCCCGGGTCTGAGAGGTGCAACCCGTACAGGTGGACGCCTCTTTGGTCGAAGCTATCGCAACTTCAAGTTAATGCGTGAGACCATAGATGGTCTCAAGAAAGTGGTTATAAGCCCGGGATTTCGGGCTTCCTCTTGTTTCCTCTTGATCTTTTTCTTCATTCGCAATCATCCAATTTCTCAGCTTCCAGCTTGTTCACGCGCTTTTTAACCACGCTTGATAATTCAACCCACTTGATCATTCACACAAGTTGATTACTTGCAACTCGATTGCCCACTACTCAATTACACACCACTCTTACATTACCACTCTTACATTACCACTCTTGCATTACCACTCTTACATACCACTCTTACTTGCCACTCTTACTTGCCACTCTTACTTACCCCTGTTACTTTCTACTATTACTTGTCACTCGACTGCTTACCAGTCGATCGCTTACTACTCAATTACTCATCAGTTGGTCTTTCACCACTCCATTCATCATGTCTTGCATCACCAGCTTCTTCCGTCGCATCGTCCGCCTCTTCAACAAGAAGACGGCCCTCCCTGACGATCCCACTACCATCTGGACTCCGCGTAAGTATGTCGGCATGAAGCCAATCGTGGACACCCCTTCTCCTCAACATGCCAAGCGATACGCTTCCAAGTTAGCCAAGGATCAGCAAGACCAGTGGTTTCGCATCCACGACCAAGAGCAGCACCAACTCAACCACAATGCAGCAGCATGGACCGACCAGCGCCAAAATATGGATCTCGCCGGCATCGAGCTCCAGGAGAGCCACCGAGACGAGAAGATCCAGCGCGAAGTCATTGTCTCGAAGTATCTGGCGCGCAAGCAACGGGCCATGGGACAGTTCTACCGAGACTGGCACAAGGACCCGACTACTAGTGACTTCCCCTTCTGGGGCAACTTGAAGTATTTGTACGATTACTAGCCATTGGCTTTGGTTTTCCTCGCAAGAGGCTCTTTTTTTTCTCCGCCAACGCATTTTTGCGGTTAGTCAATACATCCACTTATTCTCAATACACTTGCCCATTGTGATGTCTGTGATGTCTGCTATCTGTCTCTGCTGTTGTCGTCCTTTGCCATCGTCGTCCCTGTCGTCTGTCGTTGTCTGCCGTTGTTCTCTTTCGTGTTTGTCACTTGTTATTGTAACTCCCTGCCATCATTGCCCCTTGCTATCATCGAGCCTTGCAGGGCTGCAGTGAGCTATCTTGTGTATCTCACGTCTTGCCAGCACCAATATGTCTGCCACAAAGCTGGCCTGCACGCTGCTGAGTACATGTGCTCAAGTAAGGTAACTATGCGAATAGCTCCACTGTATTTTGTTGGCCACAAAGTGTGGAGATGGATGCATCTCACTAGGCTCATAGACATCAACATGGCTAGAGTACTATCATGTTTTCTTATTCATACATCTACATCATCCATTTCATTAATACATGAATACATCGTCATCCGACACTATCTACATAGCCAACAGAGCAAGCAAGCTCACAGCCAGCGCACCCATGCTGACGGAAACCATGGCCGCACCGCTCTCACCGGTGGCGGTAGGTGCCGCGGTACCGGAAGCAGTGCTCGAAGGTGAGGTCGCAGTACCGTTGCTCTGGACAATGCGGCCCTCGATCTTGGCATCGATGGGGCTCTTGGCCTCTACATACTGAACAAGAACCTCGTCCTGGGTATCAAGCGAAACAAAGTTGGTCGTCGCAACAAAGATGTTGTCACCGCCGCCCGCAAGGAAGTCAAGAGTGACGACACGGTAGTCCTTTGCGTCATCCAGGGCCTCGCCGCCGATCTCGACCGACACAAGCTTGGAGCCGTTGTTGCCGGCCGGGTTGTACTCGACGACGATGTTCTTGGAAACCTGGAAGAAGGAGGTGATGGGCTCGTTGTTGAACTGGTTGACCTTGGTCACGGCGCCCTCGAGCACCTTGCGCAGGTCGGAACCAGAGTATGTGATCTCGACGATGGAGTTGCCGAAGGGGAAGGAGGTCAGGACCTCGCCGCGGGTGATGTTGCCCTCGTCGATGGTGGCGCGGATGCCGCCGGCGTTGATGAGCGCGAAGTCGGGCTTGGCGGAGTCGGAGTTGTTGAGGCGGTACTCGTACATGGCGTCCGTCATGACGTTGCCGAGGATGCACTCCTGCTTCTGGCAGAGGGTCTGGTCGAGCTCGACGTTGGAGACGCCGACGACCTCGGCGGCGAAGGCCTCGAAGGGGCCGCGCCACGACTCGATCTGGGCCTGCAGCTCGGGGTCCTGCTCGGTGGTGTTGGTGAGGTGGATGGGCCCGCCGTGGTAGGCGAGGACCTTGCCCTCTGCGTCGTAGGTGACGTCGATGTAGCCGACGTACTCGCCCCAGCGGTAGGCTGTGACGATGAAGACGTCGTCGCCGTCCTTGTTCTGCTTGATGGTCGGGTAGGGGCCCTCGGCGTCCTCCATGGAGCCGAGCAGGGTGTGGGAGTGGCCGCCCATGATGAGGTACAGGCCGGTGGTCTGCTCGGCGAGCTTCTGGTCCTCGTCGTAGCCGATGTGGGTGAGGGCGGCGATGCGGGTGATGTTGGTGGTGGACTTGATGTGGTCGATGGTGGACTGGACGGTGGTCACGACGTCGAGGAACTTCGTGCCCGCGCCAGGCGAGGAGATGCCCGGGGTGGTGGGCGTGGTGACGCCGATGACAGCCAGCTGCTGCTCCTCGAAGATGTGGTAGGGCTTGATGGTCTTGTTGAGCTTCTCGTTGTCGGAGACGATGTTGGCCGAGACGATGGGGAAGGTGAGGTTCTGCAAGAAGTCACCCAGCTCGTCGTCGCCGCCGTCGAACTCGTGGTTGCCGAGAGTCATGGCGTCGAAGCCGAGCTGGTTGATCGTCTCGGCGATCTTCTCGCCCTTGTAGAAGGAGTAGAAGAGGGTTCCCTGGAACTCGTCGCCGGCGTTCAGCCAGAGAGAGTCGTTGTACTGGGGGCGCAGCTCGTCGACGGTGTGCTTGATGCGGGCATAGCCGCCGTAGCAGCCACGCTCGGGACGGGTGCAGTCGGTGCCGGAGGAGGAGTACTCGTCGAGATGGGCGTGGACGTCGTTCACGTGGAAGAAGGACATGTTGAAGTTGCCCTCGGCGTCGATACCGCGCTTGGAGAGGCGGGAGGAGTAGAGGTGGTCGGCATCCTGCTTCTCGGGGACCGCGAGCGCGGTGCCAGCGAGGGCGAGGACCAGCGCTGAGATGGATTGACGCATCTTGAATGAGGCCGGAATGTGGGAGGGAGGTGAAGAATCACGAGCAATTGAGGCCGCGATTGAGAGCAGATGCAGTAGAAGTCAATGAAGGCTCCACGATGCTGCGATTGACGATGCGCCGCGTTGAGGACGTGGGGGAGGGAGGAAGAGATCTTCGGCACGCTGACGTCGCGAAAGAGGAAGCTATCGTCAACTGTCACGAGCTTCCCCTCGGTGGGATTATGTATGAAATTTTCTAATCTCTTGCCAAGACCTTTCAGAGACACGCCGATCTCTGCAGCTTTGTTGTGGGCGGGTTGCGACGGTGCCACGGGCAACGAGCAGAAAATCCCACGAGGCCCTGCATGCGAATTGCGCTCCGCGGTCTGCTCTCTTTCGCGAGAAAGGTGAGTGGCTGGACGGGCCCGTTGGCGGCGCGCGCAGCCAAGACGTTAGCAAGGTTGAATGATGCCGGGAGAACAGCTTCTTTGGTGACGATGTTGCATTTGCCAAGCCTCAAGCGCAGATGAGGGGTGTAATACACGTGTGGTCGTGGTTCAGATGATTGGCTTATCAGCGGCTCCTTTGCCTCTTTTGACCTTGGGGGAGGAACGGGGAAAGGGTTCCTAGGGTTCGTCCGTCTACGTCCGCCGGAGATGGGGGCACGACTGTTGGTGTAAGCTCCTTGGCTTGGAGACGGGCAGTGACCAATCTGCACTCTGCGAATCGTCACGGTCTCGCTGAAGCTTGTTCCACGTTCCTGAACGGCGACCGAGGAAATCGTTGTGGTGTGATAGAATGTCTTGGATGTTTTCAAGATTCCATGTCTGATGTGGATAGCTGGGCAGCCGCCTGCTCACCGGCTTCGGTTGGTTCGTGTCATGCAACATGAAAAACCACCCTGATGAACCAGATCAACAAGCGGAGTACGCAGTAGCTTGATGTCCACAACCCGCCGCCCCATCCATGATGAGCCCAACATGCACATCGAAACAGTCTCTCGGTACCACAGCATGACAGCTGGGGTGGCGATCCCACGTCGCCGTGATGTTGTGCCAGACCGGCTTGGCAGCACTTTTGCTCTACCATCACCAATCTCATCCGTCCTTCTCTTTTCATGCAAGCTTCGATATCCAATGTCTCACGAGCTGTCCGTCGAAACCCGGGAGGGAGGACCAACTCTGCACCCCAGTTGGTGCGGCCGTCCGCTAGTAACGATCCCTGACAGCCAGTGGGGTTCAGCGGAGGAGCACAAATAACGTTAATCCATTCAGCGGTCGTTCCCCAGCTGTGCCCTCAAACTTTGCTCTGATAACGTTGGGTTCCTAGGCCGAACACGGAAGGTCAGCTGCTGATGGCGCTGAGCTCCGCTCCGCCAAGGCTGAGAGCTTTTCAATTTCAGCGAGAAGCTGCGGTTCCGGCCCCGGGGGTTGGTTGGAGGGGCATTGGCCATTTACCGCGGGCGGAATGGAGCTTGCGTAAACGCGTCGCATTGAGTGACAGACAGCTGGGGTGAGAGATAAGAAGACGGATGCCAACGCTGTGGCTTCTCAGCTCGGTGATGAGCTACCCTTCTTGGGCAACAAGGCACGCGAGCCTATCTTGAATGCAGAGCATGTTGGTTGTCTAGAATCGCTGCAGCTGATTGATATTAATTCATGAGTCGGATGTCGCCGAGCAGCGGTGCCTGGATCCGGTGTGCTTGATAGCTAGATGCGGGTGGCACAGCATCGTGTACCAGTTGGCTCTGTACTTGTGCTGGCAAGACAGCATCAGCATCGTGAAGAAATAAGCAAACTAACAATTGCATTATGGATCGAGAAATTAATAAGGATGGTTATATCAAAACCATTGTTGTTGACCATGAAATGGCCAATCCAAGCCCAAGCACGTTACATTGATTTCAGTGAGCTCCTCACTACGCCCAGGGGCTCACCGAAAGTTTCAGTGAGAGGCTCGGTAAGCGGGATTACACGCTACGACTGACAATACCAACAACGCCATGGGAGCCTTCATGCTCTTCATTCTCTATAAATAAATGCAATCATCCTCACTTTAGGTGCTGAAATGGATGCAGTTATATTTTCCTTGGAATTGGTCAGCGCGCCGCTTGTCGCATCCAGCATCAAGCTGTGGATGCACCTCTCGGAGTGACCTTTAGGGACTTGAGTTCCATATTTGAGTTACGTCGTCTACTCAGTGTTAGATATGATTCCGGCAGATAAACTTGATGCTACAAAGGTTTTGCTATCCGGGTGGATACTTAAGGTAATCCGGCGAATAGCTCATTACCTAGTACTCATGTCCTAGGTAGTCGTCTGTTATATTTAAATAATTCAACTATTACTATCGCCCCCATCGTCCCTTTTGTACCTGTGAGTATACTCTACCCATCCATAGGTTTGCCTATTATCGTTGTCGTCGGTATCCCTATCGCCATCTGTGCCCTCCACCCGCCCGGGTAGCTAGAAGTATCCGCCCAGATAACAAGACTCTTCACCTAGGCGAACTTCGACCACAGGGGTTATACCTCAATAGTTTTACGCCTTGTCAGAATCAGCAGACTAGGTGCCTATGATCACGACCTTGATGCTGCCTTGACAATGTTTTCACCATCTATAAAATCACATTCCGTGCTGCGCAAGCCCGAACATCATTCTACCTATCACTTTCTAAGCGCATTCCGAAATCTAACGATCAAGCCTGTCGACCATGGTAAATCTCACCGATCTCCCCGAGGAGCTGATTGTGGAAATTTGTCGTCATATTTGCTTCGACCGAGCGACCTGGAAGCAATTAATCGACATATATGGACCTCCTTCCCCAGTCAGCCAACGCGAGAAGAATGGCGTTGCAAACCTCGCAGCTACATGCAGATTGCTACAAAGAGTTGCGACCCCAGACCTCCGAAAACATATCTTTGTCACAGATTACGCTGTCTCAAGTAGCGCACTGCAGCTAGCTAGACTGCTGGACTGTGTTGCCGCGGATCCGGTCGCTTTCACCCCATCAATCGAATATGCCTTTCCTTGAATTTGATTGGGACTATGCGTTGCACTTCAACAAACTAGCCGGTGAGATGGACCGACTTCGTCTTGCTACGAAACGGGCGAAGGAGGCTGGCCAGATCGTCTTGTCGGACGAAGGCTACCGAGCATCACAACGCAATGCATACTATACAGATAAGCTTGCAGTTGCATTCCTGAGCCAGCTGAAGAATCTCAAGGAGCTTAAGCTTGATTCCGATGGTTTCATCTTGGCTGGCATCGCACAATACGTTCAGACACACTACCAATCCTTTCTTCCTTGTGTTGAGTCCCTCACTCTCCATAGTAGGGTGGGGATGTTCAAGGAAGAGGGATCCTGTATTGTTGCCAGAATAGCACACTTCGGAGAAACACTAAAAGCTGTGGAAATTCGTGGTATCCCATTTGCGAGACCTTCAAAAACTTAACCTCAGTCAAACTCATGGAGGCATCAATGCAGCTGGAATTACTGCGCCCTTTGTTGAGTGAGTGTCGTCTCGAGGAATTCGTCTTCTGTCGTGCCCGAAACCACAGCTTCAGCGCGGCTGATGTTATCGACGCCCTCACGCCGAGCGCGGATACTTTGAGATCTCTCTTCCTTACTCTGGGTGATTATTGGGCCCGGCCTGAGTTTCCTTCGAATTTCATAGGAAAGCAACGTCCATTCTCAATGGACCATTTCAAGACTCTGGAGAATTTCAGGATCGATGATTGGCGTGTACCGCGGCTTGCACTTCATGCTGCAGGAGCGCTTCCAACGGACATTAGCGACGCGACTAATACCATGAGGCTTACCACGTACGCTATTCTCCCATCAAATTTGCCGGAATCACTTATGCGATTCCATTTATATCGATTCATCCCCACTAACTCCCCGAATAGCACCTTCAGCGCGGGGGCCTTGAAACTACTCGACGTCATCGCGGACGAATGCTCGAGGGGACGGAGGAAATGTCTGAAAGAGGTAGCATTCCAGCCTGCTGGGGAAGAGACCAAAGAGATTTCCGAGAAGCTCAAGGCCGCAGGCGTTGACGTTGTTGGGATGCCAGCAAGTGGCCCGAGGGACTGGCATTACATTTGAGGAGGCATGAAAATGCTGTCATTTCATGAGCAGTTACCTATGATATGCAAGAGCTGCATATTGCGTTCGCGCATCTGAAATTGTAACCAGGCAGATTCGAGTATAAGAGATCACATGTTCAACTTTTAAGCTAGGAAATCATCAAATACCCCGTCACGTACGTCCCACCATCCTCGCCATCCTGCCCTTGCGACCGTACATTTGTCCTCAAACTAGGCTATCACTACCTGAAGCTTAAGGTGGTGTGCGTGATTTCCATTGGCTCATCATCGTCGGATAGATAGATCTTCTCGACTTTCGTTTTTTGGCTCATTTGCGAGAGCGCATCGCCCTTCATCTTAGAAGTGTCGATGTATGTGCCAGTTTGCTGTAAACGAGACGTGTCGATGGGCAGTCCAAAACTCTCATATGCCCGGTTTGGATCCATGGGCTGCTCCAACTTACGCTTGAAATCGGGATCCCATTGGGGCTCGCTAGGCCGGGATTCCGGCCCCTTCTTCTTCTCCTCACTAGACTTCAAAAATCCAAGTTCTTGGATTCGTCTGTAGGCACGGCTCGAACGCGCTATGTCGTTGACAAGCTTCGTGTTGAACATGTCTTTCGCAGCTCTCAACACGTCTGCACCTTCTGGCATTGCGGCAAGAGCCTGTAGGATCCACACTGTGACCAGAGGAACGTTGATCTTCGCCTTCATTGGTGTGGCCAGCGGGCCGAGGATCGGAACCAGCATCGGCTCGCACCTGTCGCGTACGAGCTTGAGGATTCTGAATGCTTCGGCGTGGAGGATCAAGAACGGGAGGTTGGCAAGGAGAAGCTCGTCTTCAAGAAGCGTAGCAAGCTCCACGATCAGCTCTACGGGGTACTTGGGTTTGAAACCCGCACCGCTAGCCCTTTCGACCAGAGATGTCACGTCCTCAAAGGTCCAGTTCTCCGATCCCGTCTTTCCATTGAAGGTGACGTATCTGTCGTAAAACGCCGAGTGCATCGGAACGCGCTCAGTGATCTTGCCCTTTTTGCCATCGAGGAGCCTGGCTCTTTGCTTCGTCGACGAAGTTGTGAATTGAGAATCCCAGGTGCGGGGCAATGTTCCTCATATAGCCAGGGTTGTAGTCGGCGCCTTCGCCATCCAGAAAAAAGTCTTCCGCCTGATCCTCCGTAATCATGCCTAACAAGCGGGAGTCCACCCACTCGCTTGCAAGAAAGTCCACCGCACCGCCTACCTCACTGCCTATTGCGTCCCAGAGATGAATCGCGCAGACGATGGACCGCGAAACATTGGCGATGGCAATTCCGGTCTTGTAAAGAATCATGCGATACCTGTACAGTGCCAGACCGCACATCATGGCGTTGTACTTGAACAGACGATGTTTCTCCAGCTCCCTTTTGGCCTGCCCCCTCTCGCGCCTGGGGAATTTCTTGATCTTGGCCTGCCAGACGGGGTCCTCGTCCAACAGCCACTTGATCTCCCGATCCATCTCTCTGATACGTGCATCGTACGGCTCCATCTCCTCCAACGACTCCGCCTCTCTGATAGCAGCGTAGTAATCTGCGACTATCCCTCGCACTGCTCCTATTGTTTCGATGAACTTGTCAATGATGTGGTTGTCGACGTTGAGGTGCTCGCCTTGGCTGAAGAAGTTGTGCATGTCCGAAATAATGGCCGTTGCGAAAACGAGATAGAAAGGCACCTGGCGAGTCTCGACAGCTTCTCTGACGCCACGCAAGAGTGTGTCTTCTACAGGCCAGTTTGGAACAGATTCAATAACGACCCTAAGATCCTCAAAGAGGGGCTTCAGTATGGCGAACGTTTCGGCGTAGTCGCGGTATTCCATTCCGAGCTCGTGAGCCGGGTCCCTGGGGATGAATGGGAATGGCGGCCCTGGGGGTGCGATAGAAGGTAGAAGTTCAGCCAGCATATTGTAAGCATTCGCGAAGCTCCACAAGCCAGCTCCGTACATGATTTGGTCGTCGCTGATAGATTCTTGGGGCTGGCCGGGCTTCAAAAGACCAAAGTAAGGGACAGTGGGATTCGCCTTCACACGATAGTGCATCAGGGTGGCGTGCTCCTTCATGACGGCATAAATGCCGCCTTCAACGCCCTCAAAAGCTGGGATGTACTGATCGATCACATGGCGTGCCAAGTCCAATGCAGTGTTGGCAGAAACTGCAGCGGCAGCCATGTCGTGGCCTTGCATGTGTCGGCGCCAGGAGACTCTGATGCGTATGCGGAGATCAAGCAGATCCTTCCATAGCATTTGGAAGAAGAAGATTGAATCTTCCGGTGATGTGCCCATGTCTGCCTCATAAAGAGCTCCGTCATCACGTGCCGGTAGCTCGATGTCCGGGGCGTCGAGAAAGCTTTGGCTTGGCTCGAAGAGAGACAAGCCGGCGGATCTGTTGGCGAGACTGTCCAATCTATTGTGACTAGCTTGCGATCCAGCCGCGGTCATGCGCGGCCTCAATACATCGCGAGCTTGAATGAGGATGCCGAGGAAGTAGCTGTGCTTCAAGTCGCTGGCAGTAGCCGGCTTGGCTCCGTCTTGGGTGAGTTTGGCGCTGAACCTCGTGCGGAGGTCAATGACCCTGTTCAGGGCGGAGACGAGAATGTCGGGAACATTGGAGGATTTGTGTTTCGCTGTTGAGATGTACTGGGCAAGAGGAATAAACTCCTTGACGGCAACAGTGTACTTCTTCGGGGTTTGATCGGTCTGCTTCTTTTTCTTCTTCCCTTTACCGCCTTTGGCCTTGTTCTTGGCTGGTTTGGACGACTCTTCTTTGGCCTGGATCTCAGAGAGGAGGTCGGATGGGTAGCCGCATGACTTGGCTGTGGTAGCTAGCCATGCAGCAACAAAATTGGTGTCCTGCTTGTACTGCTGGTACAAGCTGAGAAGTGGCGCAGGGACAACCATTGTGTATGTAAATCGGTGCCGGCACGGTTGCGACAGGGATATCAAACGGTATGTTTACTTAGTTGACAGGGAGCAAGCGTGCTCTTACGAGTCGATTCATGAATATGTCTCATAGTGGACGTGAAAGAAAGTTCAATAAAGAGGGGCGAACATGGTCGCGTCTTTGTCATGGTTCAACTCCCTGGCATCGGGCGTAGAAAATCCGCACTCGGTGGATGAAAAAGAAAATTCGGAGATCATCGTCTCTTGATGCCCGGCTCGCAGCTGGTGCCAGCTGACAGTCTGGTCTGTTGAAGCGCCATTCACGTTTGGCGCTCGTCTCCATCAACTCAAGGCCAACTTTTGAGCATCATTACGAAATTTCAATAACACAAACAAGATCTCTTTGGAGACCGTTTATTATATCTCGCTAGACCATGCACTGGCATGAAGCGTTTTGTGTCATTGTAACTACCGGGCTATATTACAACCATTCTTACAGCTCACAAAACGGTCTCTGCCTTGACCGTTGCGGTAAGACGAGCTTGATCAAACTATTTTCAAGTCAGCAAGTGCATTTTCGACTTTGGTTGAATGGTGGGTCTTACCTCAATGTTCTTCCTCATATCCCAGATAACAACCTCTCTTGAGAAAAGCATGAAAGACTGATTCTCGTCAAGCTGAAGCTTGGCATTGTCGAGTTGCGTTTGGGCAGTGCGCACAGCCGAGATCGAAGAGTCGCTTTCGCCCAGCCACAACTTGATAACCGCGTTGATGGTAGGCATTGTTTGGCCGCCAAAGTAAGGTCTGAGATCTCCTCCAGGGACTGGAACATGAACGCTCGCGTTATAGACGGTGCCAGCCGGGATGGCCTTTACGAGCGTATCGGCGAGGGTGTTCGCGAAGGTCTCGTTGGAAGTTGCCTCCTTCGTAGCAATCGCCCAGAACCAAGCTACGAGAGGCGGCTTATTATCGGCAGGCTTCGCGCCGGCGGGAAGGCCAGTCAGAAAGGTCTCGGTGGCCAGCATTGACATCGCTGTTGGCATGTCGTTGAAGTTGACGCCGTCGGGTCCGATCACGGTCTCGGTGTAGTTCGTCGGCGGAGGGGAGGTAAAGCTGTCGGCGGCGCTGCTGTAAAGTTCGTTCACGTCATCACGTCCGACGTAGATCTGGTTAGCGACGGTGTTGTTCGCGCCAAAGACTCCGTCAAAGACATGGTTCTGGGTGTACGCGATAGGCCACGCGTTGTCGTGGGGCGCGTTCCAAGACTTTTGGCCATGGACCAAGGTGTGGTACTCGAGATACTCTTTGTGTGTCAAGCCGGATCGACGTCGAATGACCGCAAGCTGTTTGGGGAAAGAGGTGCTTTGCTGACAGGCACAAAGCACCAAGTTGCTGGCTAAAGCGAGCAGAAGCCCAAGGACCCGAAGTTGAAGCATTTTGGCGCGATCGGATCTAGTGTTTGGCAAAGTCTAGAACGCAAGCGGCTGATCATGCAGATCATTGAGGTTGCAGCCTATTATACATTTCGCAAGGCTTTCAGCCAATTCAAGAATGCCTCCCTCCGGCCCCTTTCGGCCTTCAACGGGGCCGAATGCCGGTGGGGGGCCGGGGTGTTGACACCGAGCAATTCACATTGACAAGAAAACATGACTCTATTTCGACTATAAATCGCAAAAGCCCCTCTTGATACCACTAGGTTTAATTGAAGGACATGTATTGCCCAATGAGATCCTGTTGCTATGATACGATGGAATGCCTGATGGGCCTGCCGAGATCCGGAAAGTGGGCGTGTGGCAGAACCCAAGCCAACTTTGAACTTTATTCGCGGTGTTGGCCTATCACACGTCTTCCTTCGGAGCAAAAATTGGTACATAGTACTCGGCTTCCTAATCCAGGTGCTGAAGCAACCCGAGATATCTCGTACTCGGTGAAATGTTGCCTATCTTGATACTCCCGGCTACTTAGTGGAGGATTACTGAACATACAAATAGCAGCAACGACCCGAGATCACAAAACGAATGTGAAGCAAGCAGCAAGCTGCAGGGGAATATTTGTAAGAAAGTAAACATTATATCATTGATTTGGGTATATGGTAACAAATCTGAATCACAGGGGCATCGAGCCTAAGACAACAACGTCACATCACCAACCACGGGCCTGTGGTCGCTGATGAGCATGCCGTCAACGTTGTTGTCGTAAATCTCGTACTTCTGGACCGAGTACTTCTTTGCGTCCTTGGGTCCAAGCCAAATGAAGTCGATGCGACTGCCCTGGTTGCTGGTATCGAAGGTCGTGTAAGTGAGTTGGTTGGTCCCAGCGCGCTGGTCTGGGGTGGCCATGTTGTACAGCTCCTCCATGTATCCGTTGGCGGTAAGAGTCTTGTAGGCATCACCGTTGGGGTCGGAGTTGAAGTCGCCGGTCAGAGAGACACCGAGAGGTCCGTAAGTGGTCTGAACAGCCTGGATCTTGGACACAACAACCTTGATACCCTCGGAACGGGCTTCACTGCTGACGTTGTCCAGGTGGGTGTTGGCGTGAATGAACTTCTTCCCGGTCGCGATGTGCTCAAAAACGGCAATAGTGACGATGCGTCGGCTTCCGGCACCCCATCCGTACGAGACCTGGTCCGGGGTGGGGGACAGCCACTTCACCTCGCTGTAGACCAGCTTCAAGGCGTCGGAGCGGTAGAAGATCGGGCTGTACTCGCCGGACTTCTTTCCGTCATCTCGGCCGACGCCGACGTGGGCCCACCCGGAGCCGAGGCCGCTCTGGATGTCGTTCAGCTGGTTATCGAGGACCTCCTGCAGGCCGATAACAGTCACGGCGTCGGTCGGGGCCGCTGATGCGGCGTTCTTGAGGGCGTCGATAACATGCGGTTGACGGCAGCGGGATTTCCAGATGGGGCAGAGGAGATCCCACCACGGTTTCTCGCCAGATTCGCGGGAGCCGGCGTCGTAGCGGATGTTGAAGGTGACGACGCGAATGGGGAGACCCTGAGCGATCGCCGCTTCGGCCAGGAGGAGCGGGGCCAGGATGGACTTGAGCTGCATTATGACGACGACGAGGAGCGACTTATTAGATTCGAAAACGAGAGACCCGGTGGTGAGCACACACAATCACAAACGCCACATTGGTTGCCAGCTCCTCCTATTTATGCGGGCGACGATAAAGACCTCGTCACCCTGATGAACTGCCTCATCGCAATTGCCAAAGGGAACGCCGAGGACCCTTCAGCCCAATGAGGCAGTTGAGGAAATAAGGTGACCGGGATCCCCTCCTGATGTCGACACGCTGCGGGGTTTTGGCCCCCCTCACGACCACTGAAGCGGCACGTGGGTAGCAATGACAGCCACATTGGCAACCGTGGCACGGATATGTTATGCGGATGGGGTTGACAAGGCCGCATTGAGTCGTTTTCATCGCGAAAATTGGACGGTGGCCCCGGGCATACCCGGTAGTTGTGACGAAACGCAGGCCCTGGTTGGCGATAATTGGCTGGGCAAATAGACTTAATAGAGAGTTTATGAAGTGCCCCAGCCACTGCGGCTTTTGCGACCAGCCAGGCGGAGTTGAGGGCCGAGTCAGTGAGCTCTTTTTTTGGGAATGCTGTTGGTCAAAGATTGGATGAACCAATATGACGACTCACGAGGATGGAAATTGGTTTGACGAAATGGCGACATTTCTGGCGGGAAGTGGGAGAATGATGGATATTCGTCTAGCAGTCATTTCAATTCCATCATGCGTTGCTACATCTTCTATAAGACCTTGGATTCAGAGCCCCCCAGTGGTCAAGGAATTGTTGTTTGACAGAGTCAGTGCTCAACAGGAGTTGCCGGTCGCACGCTCTGTGGGAAGTAGAAGACTTCAGTTGGATCAACAGCCGCCTTGATCTCCTGCAACCTGGCCAGGTTATCGCCCCAGTATTTCGTTTGCGCCTCATCCTGCTCCATGTTTGGATCGGGATAGTTGAAGTACATGCCCTGTTCCCCTGGCTCCATGCCAAGAGTGGTGTTCGCTCTAAAGCCCTGGAGAAACGAGAAGCCATCTTCAGGGTATGTCGCCGACAAATCGACTCGGTCATAAAACTGATACAGCAGCAACTTGTCGCGATGAGCGTACGCAGAAGAGTTGGCAGGAATAGCGGTGATGGCCGAGTTCTTGCCCCCGTGAAGGTCGACTTGCACCCACCAATCTCGCTTCAAGGCTTTGCCGGCGCCATACCAGTAATTGACGAAAGACTCAGTCTGGTCGTCTGAGAGTTTGTCTGTATATAGACTGCTAGAGTAAAAGTTCTCTTGCTGGTGCGAGTTAGCCAAACGACAATGCGTGAGGCCTAGGAAGAAACTTGCCTTCTTATATGTATCTTTCTGATCGAGCGCTAGGCCGTTTCCGAAATGTTGCAAGTTGCCAAACCAATCAGTGGTCTGAGATGTCGTCAACTTGCCTCCCAATTTCGTTAGCAATGGGTCTAAAATATCCTGCAACCCAGTCTTGTTTCCGTAGAACATCCCTTCCAGGTTGGTGAAGCGTGGAGTGATAAAAAGCCGCATGTTGAGCTCCCTCGGCATCTCTTCTTCCGCCCAATCCTGCAGCACCTTAAACCCATCGATGGACTTTTGAGAATCCCACTGAAGAACGGCGAGGAAGTTCGTGGCTTGCTGTGGCGCATCAAAGGTCTTGAAGTAGAACTCGGATGCAACTCCGAGGGAACTGCCTGCTCCTTTCAGCGCCCAGAAAAGGTCCGCATTCTCAGCTTCGGAAGCGATAACGACGGTGCTGTTTGCCAGAACAACCTTCGCTCCTACGAGCCAGTCGAGGGCGAGCCCCTTGGTATGGGAGCTCATTCCGTACCCACCATGGAGAACATGGCCTGCACTGCCGACTCTTTGTCATGTCAGTTGAGGACCTGAATGCCTGGGCGCTAGGAACTGACCCTGGACATGTCCCATGGCTGATTGCCTTGCCTCCTTGCTTGTACAGCTCGCTCGCGACGTGACCCAGACGGGATCCAGCCTGGACTGTCGCGATACCGGTGGCGTTGTCAAGGGTGACATTGTACATGTGGTCAAGCTCCAACATGAGATGGCCATCTTCACCACCGAAGCCGAAATTGGCGTAGCTATGGCCACCACATTTCGGCGTTACTTTGACACCATTGTCTCGACCGCACTTTACTGCGGCTTGGATATGCTCTGTGTTGAGGGGGACGGCGATGGAGACCGGGCCGTATGGTATCCTGACGTTGAACGGGGATCCATCTGCTTCCCACTGAGAGCTGCCTTTCTCGTTATATGGGACGCTGGCTGCGAACAGGCAATCGTCGATTACTGCCTTCTTGTTCAATGGCGATGAGACGACGAGAGATACGGCAGTCAGAAGACCGAGAACCTTTGTTGAAACCATAGTGCCAGCTTATGTGATGCAGGGATAACACTCGACTCCAAAGCGTGGGAGGTTGTCGTCGCCTTTAAGTCGGTTGCTGCCAAAGTGAAGTCTAGCGCCGCAATGGAGGACGAAATTCCTCTGCCACTTCGTTAAGAATAGATCCCCTTGGAATGAGATAATCATCTCATTGCAAGGCTTAGCCTTGCTATCACACGAAGACCGACCCATTTTCATTCACGCTGGGAGCCCACAATGGATGTTCCGCGTCCGGATTCGGCGTCGGAGGATGGGTTTCAACGGTTTCTGAGCTCTCCTGAACACCATTTTGAACCACGTTGCATCCAAATGGTGAGGTTTATCTGTGATAATGCAAAGTTGGGCTGACAGAATCTCCTGATAATGGGTGTCAGTCAGGCAGATTTTCATTGACTTCATCTACGGCCATCGCCACACCATCGGAATTCCCATCAGCCTGATTCCTGTGCAGGTAGCTGAACCATAGAAAGGAAACTACGGATGGAAGAAAATGGCATAAAGACGGTAAACAAGCCAACGAAAAGAAATTAGACCAACAGTTGTAAGAAGGCCTCGTAGATCAGCATTATGTATGGCGTCCGCACAGTGGCTCGGAAAACCTCCCTTCGCAGAGGACGTCCGGAATGTTACACAACTAACCACAGAGATGGCCATGTCCTCGGAATAAGCTAGCCACTTCAATATTGCCGAGACTTGACATCCACCGAGATCTGTAATTAGCCGCGAACCGGTTTCACGGAACGGCACCTTATCAATCCCCATATTGCCTGTGGTTCCGTGGAATTACTCTTTCGGGGAACTCGGAAGATGCACTAGCCCAGACCGTGGTTCTCCTGAATTAAGGGCTGAAAACACCATGTTTGAGATTGATCACTGATCACACCAAAGTCCCACGGCGAAGAAGAAAGCTGATAATCATGGGCCGGAAGGAACGCTTCAGTACCGTCTGGTCACAAGGCATATAATCAGGCCATCTGATAAAGTTCTTCTGGTCTGACCGTTTCCTCAAACGCTTGAGGAAACCGGGACCATCGCCTCCATGATGAAGATCCGCATTCTCTCGGCGCTGTGTGCGGCCTTCTCCTCCGGCGAGGCAGCTACCTTGCTCGCATCACACTACAGCGGCCAGATCTACACCCTCGAGCTGTCGTCCTCAAACCAACTATCAATCGTCAAGTCCATCAGCTCGGGCAACCGCATGCCGGCGTGGCTCGACCTTGACTCTGCCACAAAGACGCTCTACGTTCCAGACGAAACTCAGTTCGGCCAGCCGCTGCTCAAAAGCTACTCCGTCGGTGATGATGGCACAGTAACTCCGAAGGGCCAGGTCCAGACGGCCGGCGGCGAGCTTCACAGCACCATCTACGAAGGAGGAGCAGGAGGAGGATTCGTCGCGGTGGCGCGGTAGTAAGCTTACTCGTCCACCACGATTCTTATGCTTTTGCTAACCTGAAATGACACTTTTCAAGTGACGCATCGACCATCTCTACTTATGCTCTGCCGGTGGGCAGCACAAATCAGGCGCTGCAGTCGTTGACATTCGCGATGACCCAGCCCGGCACTATGCCGTCTCGGCAAGACAAGCCGCATCCCCATTCGGTGTTTACCGACCCGACCGGCAAATACCTTCTCTCCGCCGACCTTGGCGCCGATCTCATTCGCATCTTCAGCATCAATGGCAATGGTACTGTGAAAGAGTGCCCTTCTGCGCAGGCAGGTGCCGGGGATGGGCCACGTCACGGCGCGTTCTGGACCCAGGCCAATAGCTCAGTCTTATTCACCGTCAACGAGCTATCGAATTCGGTCACGTCCTGGTCGGTGGCGTACCCTGCCTCGGGATGTTTGACACTGTCGAGAAAACAAACCCTTTCGACGTTTCCTCCCGGGAAAGCTGCGCCGGCGGGATCCAAGGCTGCCGAGGTGCATGTCAAGGACAATTTCGTCTACGCATCCAATAGATACGACCGCTCCTATGGCAGCCAGGAAGACTCCATGGCTACATACTCCATCAACCCGTCCACCAGCGAAATCAGACTTCTTGAGGCGACTAGTGCCTTTTCCTACTTCCCCCGCACATTCGCAATCAACAAGGCCGGAAACCTGGTTGCAATTGGCGGGCAGACAAGTGCCAACGTCGCTGTTGTGGAGAGAAACAGCACCACGGGCAAGCTGGGGCAACTCCTCGCGACCATTAAGGTTGGCAACCCGGGTACGGTGAACCAGGAAGATGGCCTGAGCGCCGTCATTTGGAACGAGTAAGGTCTGGTCGTATGTGCGAATGTTTGTATGCAGATGCGAATAGCTCGGATACCCGGCTTAAGAGCCGTAGTTGTCACAGCACCCTGCAATTAGAAGTCGCATGCTAAGCGAGACAAATGCCAAGTGTTTTCGGACTTGACAATTTGGTTGCGTTTGAACGAATTTTGCCTCTCATGTCTGATTATCATTGTCAGATCTAAGAATCTATGCTGCCTTAAACCGGCATAGTGCGGTGGTATCTCTGCGTTCTCATCATAACAACATAGCACGCTTGCTAGCCATACAAACACACACGATTACTTCTTCTTGCACAACCTTTTCAGGTAGTCAACGACAGTCCAGTCCTCGCTGCCCGGGGTAGACCAGGAAAAGAAGACGCCGTTCGGGTCCCACTTCTTCTTCGTCGCGGCCAGCGTGGGGTAAATGGGTCCCCAGAAGGCGTCTTGCCAGTTCTTCATGAATGCATAATTCTGTGTCGACGGAGTCAGCTTTGGTACTCAACCGCGAACACGAGTCAGGAGCAGAGGGTCTTACCTCGTTCACGTAGGCTAAGCCGTTGGGGGCGGCTTGCTTAAACTTCTCGGTGATTGTGTTCACCATCAAGTCGTTCAGGGCCAGCTTCTGAGCCCATGTCGCGTCCAGGGCCTGAGGCAGAATGGCCATTGTGCGCATGGTTGCGCCCCTCCACTTTGGGTGGGTTGCGCTCTGCGGCGTCTTCACTGTCATTCCAGGGTCGAAGAGATGGCTAATGACGATGCCGAACTTGTCTGATGCGGGTGCCAGTGCAAGCTGGATGGCATCCGCAACAGCGGCCTGGTTGCTCTGCTGCATGTCTTGGTGGGTGAAAACCCAGCCTCCGGTGAGACCGTTCTGAGCGGCGGCCTCGGGCTCGAAGAAGTCGTGGAAAAGGGTGTAGTAGTTGGGGTATTCCTTGACGCCGGTGTCGTACGGGATGCCTTCGGAGTCGAGGTAGGAGAAAAGAGGCTGCATGATAGCGGTGAGCTGCGCAGCTGTCTTGTTCATGCCCATAATCGGCTGGATGTGGAGGGCACCTCCGATGACGGGAGGATACAACTCGTAGATGGCGTAGAGACCCTGGTCGACCATCTGGTTGCCGAGTTCGTGGAGCTTGTTCACTGCCTTTGTGACTTGGGTGAAGTTGGCTCCGGTGGTTGCGTTGACGTTTAGGAAGAGAGCGGCTCCGCGCGTGGTATCAGGGTAAGTCTTCAAGGTGACTGACAAGACGACGGCGTAGTTTCCGGGACCACCGCCCTTAAGAGCGTAGTAGAGGTCGGAGTTGCTGTTCTGGTTGGCAGTGATGAAATCTCCGGCCGCCGTGAGAACTTCGAACGACAGCGCGTTATCGGCACCGAATCCATAGAGACCGCTCAGAGGGCCGTGGCCACCGCCTCCCATAAAGCCTCCAGCAACGCCAACAGTCTGTTCACATCAGTCAATCAACTTACCATCAAAGAAAAGATGATGTCTTTTGACTGGAGACAACATACCTCGCACTCGCCCGTAACAACATTCTGAGGCGGATTCCTCGCATGCGCCGCATCAGAAATCTCGTAACCCTGCACGCCGGCGCCGATGGTCATCGCAGGTCCCTTGTAATCGCCAGGGCCCGCGTAGTTGTTAACGAAAGAGATGTCCTTGAAGTTGTGGGTGTTGATGGCCAGCGAGCCGGCGCCCGCGCTCCGGCCCTCAAAGTCGTGGCCCGTGTTGCGGATCACCAGGCGCAAGTTCTTGGTTCTCGCAAAGTCGACACCGGCCTTGATGTGCATTTTATTCCTGGCGATGATCACATACTCGGGGTAGTTGCCCAGAGTGCACGTCTTGGTCGGATCTGTCGTGAGTTCGCAGGTGTTGTTGCTGCCCCAGGTCCAGAGTTGCGATGCTGGCTGGGAGATCCTGGCAGGTCACGGTCAACACCACCACCAATTTCCTCGCCTTACCAGTACTCGAACACTAGGAAAAAGCGACTTACTGCCATCTTTCATCAGTCCACTTAGCCGTGGCTTCAGCGCATTTGCCTGCGTCGAATGTTGAAACACCGCGGTACTGGTTGTAGCAGACAGCGGCAGGCGGCACGTTCTTAATAAGGTTGCCCCCGACAGTGATGTTGAGGGCATCCCACAAGTTAGCCTTGGGCCAGCAGTCGTCCGCCGGCGAGCATTTGCACTGATAGCTCTTGCCGTTCTCCTCGTACGGCACGAGCTTGGTCGTGTAGACGGCCTTGGCAACGATTGCCAGGAACCCAAAGATTAACAAGTTCGCCAAAGAAGCGCGTCCCATGATGCTGGATTTCGAAGTCCTAGGCTCCGCTCGGTCCTCGTGTTGGTGCTGTTGTTCTCGTTGATGGAAGAATCTCTGGTTCCGAGGCGATGGCGACGGAGATAGCCCAAGAGGGTTCCGTAATATCGTGCTGATCGTGGCCATTTTGTACTAATGCTTCTCCTTCCCTGATCTTGGATCGTCGTCTTTCGTTCGGCGTACTAGTTTCTCTCGGTCTAAGGCGGCCGGCGCATAGCAAGCCACCAACGCAAGCTCCCTCGCAGAATAGTAAGCGACTACCGACTAGTCGCATCGCCTAGGTCGCAGTGCAGCAAGAGGCTAGAATATTAAGGGCATGGAAGGGAGAGGTAGAGTTTTGACGAAGGCAAATGAGTCTAGGTTGTCTAGGTTGACTTTTCTGACGTGGAAGAAAGAACAACTGGCGGCGTCTAGACTGGCGTTAATGTGTCAGAGGTTGCGATATGGAACTCCGAACCGCCCATCAGGAACCCCTACAGCCGCCACAAGGGCATCGGGAGGGCTGATCTACGGCGGCGTTGGAAGGAGGGTTATTCGGGTTATCCGCGCCGGCGACGGCGAAAGGGCGGGAGAGACTAGCCAGCGGAGCCCACCCAGCACGTTGCGTAGTTCCATCGACGGCGCGCTGCGGGTTGAGATCATGCGATAACTCGGGGTTTGCTTCTCCCCTCCTCGTAGCTGAGCAAATAGCAAACACCGTGGGCAACGTGCCGAGGATAGAGGTTGGGGTAAGATTTAGCGTTGTGCGGCATACATGCAAGCCCGCAGCAAGTTGGATAGCCCGCCAATGTAGGTAAAGGTAGACAATGGAGAAGTTTGCCCCTTGCGGCAGGCTTGGGAGTTCAGGAAACTCTGTGGTTATTGCATCGCTGCGGCGGCGGCAAGCCCCAGACAGGGAGACGCGAGGGAGAAAGAGTGGAAGCCATCGCAGACAAGGGGGGGAAGCCAAGTGTCAGGGATAGCAGCTTGTGGAGCAGACAACCGCCTTGCCGGTATCAGTTGCGGCAACACGATGGGGCAAAACCCAGAGAGTTGCTGCCCGGCATCATTAGAAAGAGCCTCTCACGGAAAAGCTGGGAGCTGGGAGTGGTTTTCCATCCGAAGTGTCCCACAAGCCCGGGGCATGCGTTGCCACCTCTCTTCAAGCAGAGGTGCCGGCGGCTCGGCGGTCATCCAATCGTGCAGTAGCGGCACCCGGCACAGAGGAGCAGCGAGTGAGAGGAAGCACAGCAAACGTGCGGACGGCACAGCGCCGACCGGGAATGATGTGGGGGTAACAAGTCAACATCCTTTTCCCCCCCTGGTGGTCGGCACGTCAGAGCTTCTGCAGGCCGACCTGCCCATGCTCGCCGGGAGAGTCGTCTCGACTTTCCCAAACACAGCTGCCGAATCGGGGAAAAAATACAGGACGTTGTGTGAATATCTTGATCTATCGAACCTATAAGAGATTAAACATCCGTGTCGGCGGCTTTCGCGCGAGAGGTGTCAATAAGGGCGGCGATCATGGCCGTTGGGACGGCCCGAGTCAGATGACACTCAGCCTTCAAACGGCCAGAGACAAAGGTAATCAAAGGGCACGGGAAGACGATGAGGGAGACTAGTGGATGACCGGCGATTTGGGGCAGGTGGCCATGTCGCGATGTGCTAACCAGGCTTGGCATGGCCCAGATGCACGTCTTCTGTCTCAGTGCATGTCATCGATTGAATCAGGTCTCGGATCATGCCGACCAACTTTGCAGCAGCTGTTAAGTTAGAATAAGCTTGGAAGAAGACGAAGAAGGAAAAAAGAAAAGAAGCGCGGAGGGAGTTGAGGGGAAGGTAGTGTGCATTCCAATCAATGAAACCACTTCCACTGTTTAAGCTCGCCGAAAAGCTGGGGACATTCCCGCAGCTGACTCAACTGTCTGAGGGAAAACCGGGGAACATTAGTCGGAGGGGCTGGAGACTTTCGACTCTAAGCTAGCAGAGTCGTCCTAGCAACTGATGGTGGCTGAAGAGGCGCCGATCCGAATCTAACGGCCGTATGGCAGGACGGCCACAAGAAGATGTGGCAGCTGGACGTTGGACCCTTGGCATTCGGAGGTCTGGACTTGACATCGCGAGTTGAGGGGCAACATTGGGAGTCACCTGTCGTTTTCTAGGGGTCTTGGAGGGCCGAAGATGACCACCAATCCCGAACATTCAAGTCATGGCTTGCCTCGGCAGATCGGGGGTCGGCGTACATGTACTGCGTAGACACCCTGTCAATTCATCTGCGGAGTGAGGATAAGTCCTCTCAGCAGTTGTCTCCTATCGCCGAATCGGCGAAACCAAGCAGGTGGCAACTTAGACCATGTCAGATCAAGACCTTCAGAGCCCGTCATATGTATGTTTGTGATTGTGTTTCAATGCCCAGAGTTGCGGGCATGAGAAATGGTACTCGTAGATGAAGACCTGTCATGAGTGGGCAAAAATGTCACCCGATTACCCGAGATAATTGTTGTTGAACTGATCATATCAGGCCTGATTAAGAGAAGCCTCAATATACTTGTTTCTAAAATACATGATTCTGATCCAGTCTGTGCAGAATCAGAAGCTGAAAGAAACCTTTGTATTTGCGCGACCCATTCATTGTTCACGAAAGCAATGACCTGTGATGCCCAATGTCCACAATGTCTTGTCCAATCCTATTTCCGCTACCTCTGGCATTCACACCGTCGTCCATCAAGCAAATGATCTTTCCAGTCCGTTGTCCGTTGAGTCTGTGTCGTTCATGTCGTTCATGTCGTCCACACCATCCTCAATTCGCTAATTACGCCGTATGTGCGTAACCCAGACAATGGCTGGTTGTTGACCATACTTCTCCGTCGCCATGTTGCGGAATCCGTTCAGAATTTCTTCACCTGGAATCCAGAAGTGGCGCTTGGGGAGAATGAATCTTGCATAAGAGGGTGTTGCCTCAGACTTTGCATCATACTTGCTAGGCACACCAGGGGCGTAAAACTCAAAGCACCACATGCCACCGAGACAGCCCTCCAGTCTCACAAACTCGAGGCGACGCATCTGTAGCATCGCTTTCATCATCGCATCCAAAAGACGAGCCATTGTAGGCTCGTTAGCTTCGCAGAACTCAAGCATCTCGTCCTCTCTGGCGTCATCGTGTTCATATTTGCTCTCATCAGCATCGTTGCTGTTCTCGAAGTTGTCGTGATCGCTGCCATCGTCATCATTGTCATCTTTAAAGCCTCCATCCACCAGGGTACGATATGTGAGGTCGTAGATTGTCCTTTCGTGCTGTAAGATACTGTTGATATAACGATGCGCGCGTTTTGCCTCGCTGACAGAGCCGTGTCCAGGAGCGGGATGCCCAGGATGGTTGACGGGAAAGTTGATGTCGTAGTCGTAGCGAGCGATGGTCTTTTGAGACCACTTGTTGAAGTTGGTTCTCTGATACCACTCGGTCGACGTCGAGTCTTGCTCCATCGTGATCTCCAGTTTCTTCATTGACTGCCAAAATGGTAGCGGCTTCTCCGATGGCTGGTATGGCCAGAACAATGACGGGTCAACTTCGCCATGAAGCTTGAGGTGGGCAACATGATTGACAGCCTGGTGTAGTACCCTGCAGAGACTCCACCTCTAATAGTAGAAGGACAGACGATCAGTAACACCTACGACAAAGCCCAAGCCTTACGGAAGGCCTTACTCGAACGGTTTAGCGCTAGAGATGACCTACCTGGGAACCCTTTTGCTGTCCCAGTGGTTACAAGGCGTCTTATACCCTGGCAGGATACAGTTAGTATGGAGGAAGTACGCCAGGCTACTCTTACAGAGACTAC